ATTTCACTTTTGGAAAAACATCTGTTTAGTTCTAGTGACCTCCTCTACTGTTCTGCTGTGATGGAGAATTCTTGTTCAGTTTGGTTAGAATCAGAAAACTAAGTCTCTGTGCCTGTCTTAGTCTCTTTTAATTTTTACTTGAATTATTTCATTATTCGTATGCAATTCCTCTTTTTTAAACACTACTGGATTTTTTTCGGTATCTTTTTCTCTCCTACAAATACGACAAACTTCAGTTTGATATGACCTATCGCTGCTGAATGGTTCTTCTAGAGTTACTTCATCAACCAAGTCCTATGTATTAATTCTAGACTAAACCAAGGGCTGCCCTCACTCTTCTGCATCCTCTAGCTGCTTTGCTCAAAAAAGTAGTTCTCGATGGTACCTAAAAAAAGAACAGCTTATGCATGATAGCCTAATGTTAAGCTTATCTAGTCCATACATTGATAACCAAGATCTCTCATTATGACCAAGCTTTTAGGCTGCATGACTTCTCTGGTTTCCCACAGTATTTCACAGTCACTGTCTCCATCCCGTCAGCTAGTTTAGAGCTCTTACCAGGCTTCTCCTATTCAGATATGGAAACACTCATAATTATGTTTTGTGGTTTCTTCTATTGATCGCACAGACCAATCTGTTGTCTCTGCATCAGGGAGGCACTAACGTTCCATCATTTCTGTGCCATCTAGGCACTGATATTTCAGTGTCCCCTGGAAAGAAAGGAAAGGGACGCATGCAGACCCACTTCCAGAAAGAGGGTGACATACCTGAGGAATTCCTGATGCAATTCATGCTTACCACTCTTCTGAAGAAGCATGATCTTCAAGGTACCAGGGAAACAGAGCAGTATGAGGTAGCAATGTACCTAGATAGTAAATCAAAACTAGCATAGGTTCCTTCTCAACAGAGAATCAGGTGGCGTTTGAACAAGGACTGACCAACAGGATGGCCTGAACAACTGTTTGTACTTATTCAAGATTTCTGTACCAAGAGATGCTGTGTCAGGAAGGGAATGCACTAAGCAGCAGAAGGACGCTACAAAGTATGGGAAGTCCTTAAAGCTTTTGTACACACTAGAGAACTTTGTAACATTCACATTAACTTCCTTCTGTGAGGAGGGAGAAGACGGAGAGGAATAAGGGATGCTTTCTGGACGCAGTGCCAGTAGCTATTGACTTGGGTCTGACAGCTGAGAAGGCCCCTGGGGGCTAGCATTTCATCTGTTCACTGCGACTCCCTTCTTTCCCTTTTGTGAGGCTTCTCTTTGGAGCACCTTTTTTCTGCATTAAATGTGATGTGACACAAGGCACAGCAGGATCCAACAGCTACACTGCGGTATCCAATGAGCTTTCATTATTATTTATTTGCATTACCACAAATCTTAGGAGGCCTCACCCTGGATCCACTTCTCGTTATGCTGGGCCATGAATAAGCATACAACAAAAAGAGTGTGCTCGAGTTCTACATAAAGAGACAACAGAGATTATTGCAAAATACAAAGGCAATGACAAAGCATTACTGTGATAAGCGTTGGCATTAGTGTACCTGAATAATATCACTATTTTCTAGTTGGATTGCTTTAAGCTTCACAGTGCATAAAACTCGTAAGAAGATATTTAAAGGAAGAGAGCGAACGGTTCTGTTTATGAAGGAGTCAACCAACACATGAGAGGCAGCTGAGGAGAAAGTATCCAGTGTGGTGTGAAAATTTAACAAGCGACTGATGGAAGCTGGTATCATATGTTGATCAAAATCAGAGTCAACCTCTTGATACTGAAGGAGAGGTATCAGGTAGAAGTAGTCTTGATGGGCCTTGAAAACAAAGACAGATAGCTTATCTTTATTGTTTTAAATCGAAGGAGGAAGTTTAAAAGGTGTAAGTTTGGAAACTGGTATTTACAGTAGCACTTTGAATAGATAATGAGCATTCCAAGACTGCATTTGTCAAGGCAAAAGAAAAAGATTTTTTCCAATAAAGATATGATCCATGGAAAACCTGAATGGAAAACGCAATCGTCCAACAGAGAAGAAAGAGCACCCTTAAAGTGTTGGAAAAAGGTTTCCAAAACTGAGATTTAGCCTAAATTTGATGACTTAAAACAAACGACAGCATGATGGTGTCATTCACTGAGGACCTCAACTTAAATATGAAAAAATTACTAACAAAAGACCAATAGTTGCAACTGAATATAAAGAACCAAGAACACTACTGAAGAAAATTTTCATGCATTAGATCTGCTTAAGAGTGGGAAAGAAGATGGGAGGAGGTATATGAAGTGACACATTAAACATTGTTTTTCCTATACTGTGCAATGAGAAAATTCTTTCAGGTCGCATTTATTGCTAAGTTATTACAACTACTTATGCTACTGTGTTTTGACTTTCAAGAGTTGAAGAAAAACAATGTTCATGATGTTGCAAGATGATGGGTGTCTCATTCAACAAAAAAAAACATGCTACATCCAGCTCAAAGACAGGACAGTGGTGATACAAGCCAGGCAAACAGCAGCAGAGAAACGGATCTTACAACTTACACTTACAACAGCTAACATGCTGAACGTTCAGGCACATTCCTTTCCTCTTTCCTTTTTTATTGTACAGAACCAGGGCTATCATCTCATTTTGCCACTAAAGGAAGCTTACTCTGGTTTGGTATTTCCAGCTCTTGAAGTATTCCCAAACCTGCACAGTGTGTGGCCATGTAGCAAAAGCTGACTCTCTACATTCCACCAACATCAACAGCTTCTCTTGGTGTCTGTTTTCTTGCTCTTTTCCTAGTTTTACTCGTTTAGGACATCACCGCATGGGTCGAACCAAAGAAACGAGCAGATCAGGTGCTCAACCACGGGGTTTAGCAGCAGTGAGTAGTGGAGAGCTGGTTACAGCAGGAGACAATTCAGAGTTCCTTTTCTTCCAAATAACATTTTGTAGCAGCATTACCACAGGCAGAACAGAGCTGTGCCCCTACATTATCTCCCTCAAAGCCCAGGGAAGTTGCTGTCTCAAAAAGGAGATGCAGTCGGATGTACGCGAGCTGCCCTCCGTGGCGATGAGTAAAAAAAAATGGAGGCATATGAAAGATCCAGGGGATTTTTCATATCCCACTCACTAGCATGTAGCCTTGCTTCTTTTTCTTTTCTGAAACTAGATCTATTCTGAGGCACTTTTTTAATCTAGTGTGGTAAGGGAACATAGGAGGCTGGGTTGAGTTATTTCGCAATCACCTCATCTCCCTCTCCTTTTCTTTCTTCTACCCAACTGAGTGCAAGTAAGAATAAGTATGGCATAGAGGATTAAAAGCTGGAAACAGTAAATCACTGTGAACACAATGTATTCTGATCAAGAGTTTTGATGTAAAATGAAACATTCAACATTCTTGTTGTTATGAGAAACGTTCAAATCACGATTTAGTTTCATATTGAAAAACATCTCCATTTCATTTTATATTCAGAAATCTCAAGCGCCATTAAGCTTTTAAACTGGAAATTTAAAATTTGCCATCCTGTAAAGAAAACAGTGGAATTGTGTTTTGAGTTTGCTTCAGGATGGTGTAAGTTATGAGTTTGAACAAGAAATTGTCTTCTGCTTAGCACCAGCCATGTTTTAGCACATATAACCCATCCTCCTCTGTTCCTAGTTGTTACTGTCATCTCAAATATTATATATACACATCCATTTATACAGGTAATTCACAACTAGTCACTAACTCTTCTTTAAAGCCCGTATAATCCCCTTTAATAGGAAAAAAATAGCAGAGAAAAACATTTACTGGAAGTTTTAAACTAAATAGACATGTAACCTAAACTTATCATATATTCAGTGCAACGAGAATTACCAGGAGCTATGTGTTTAAGTTCTCCTTTCAGGCATATTTTTGCCATGCATTTTTCTATTTGGTTGGTTGTTTTTGTTTTGTTTTTGCTAATCGAGCTTATGGGCTCTCTAGTCTGCTTCTGATCTGAGTTTACGATTTCTTCTTTGGTCTTGCTCTCTCTTCAAATTCCATTCATTTCATGCTGCTCTTGTGCCAAGCAAAAAATAAGAAATCCTGCCCTCCTTAATGTTTACTCACCTATCATTGGATCTTTGCTCCATAGTGAAGATCCTCTAATTGTCCTTACATACAACTCCTCTAGATCTTTACACCTCAGCTACACTTCACAAATTCTATTTTTAAATATTAAGCCCCCCATTCAAAAAAAGAAATAAATTGTATTTGAACACCAGAAGGGAAACACACCAAAAAAGGGCATGGAGTTTATGCCACTTGTGTTCCACAGGCAAACCACCTACATGTAGTTTTTGCTCATTAGGATATAAAAATAGAAGTTGTAGCAATGACTGTACCCATAGCTACAGGAAAAGAACTTCCTCCTCAATCCAAGCATATTTATAGTTATTTTGGGTGAATCCACTGACATACGATATGGGTAATTATTATTGATTAAGCACAATGTACTTAGTTACAATAAAATATGTAGCTCCTGCCTAAGAAGACTATAGTTAATCAGCATGCACGATCGCATTGCCCTTCAAAATGCCAGATCAGTTTAGTTTAATTTAACCAAGTTCCATTGACACGAGTATAAGTGTGTATTTATTAACATTTCAACGTTCAACTCAGCAAGACAATTATGTTAGTAAATCTGTTTGTAATATCTACACAAATACTGGTGGTATAAACAGTTTTTATAGATCTATAAATTTCAAGAAGTTTATGGGTGAAAATACAGAGCAAGTCAGCAACACGCTATTCTGAAAACAACGAAAACAAACAAATTAAAACTCCCTACCTAGCAGCAGTACAGAAGGACTCCAGGTTCACACGGTGAATTACACAAGAATAATGAAATCCCTAATGAATATATTCCATGTATTTTCCAAAAAGAACTGAAGTCACGCATAAGTCAAACCTCTCGGTTAACCTTTCTATCATTATTAGTTTGTCAACATCAGTAAAAACTAGCTATTGAAAAATTCAATCATTTCAGTGTACTTACAGCTGAATTTTCTCATCATGTGACCAACTATCCACAAAGCCTCAGTGCCATTAAGAAGTTTTGAGGAATATATTATTTGGTACTGCCAAAAAAACATAATTAAAAGAACGCATGTAAATGATATTTATTTTCTAATTAGGAACGTTTTTATGATTATTTCATGTCTAAAGTACATTTGGGGGAAAAGCAGGACTTACATTATCCCAAAAGGCAGGTTCCAGCACAAGCAATGATACAGTGACAGAATTCACAGTAAGAAGTCACAGTAGGGTCCTGATCTTGCAACTCAACTTTCACAAACAGAACCCTGCACTACTGCAGAATCTCCTTAATTTCAATTAGGGCCCTACCCACACATAATCAGTTACAGAGTCCACCTATGTGGGAGTAACAACAGCCAGAACGGGACCCGTTCCTCCACACACCTGCAAAAATATTGGGAGAAAAAAAATAAATTAGTAACATGCAGCAAAGCTTCTGATAGCCTGTTTTACTACAGCATTTAGCACGTAATAAAGGAGTTCCATACATATTTAAGTTGCGTGTTATTTATAGGAATCTTTAGTTCCCTTTTTACAGAATGTTGACTTAAAATTGCTTATGGGTTTTACATGCAGTGATAGCACATCATGGGAACTTCAAATGATATACATTTGAAATATAAATGTAGATATATTTTTAATAATTACTCTGCAAGACCGTGTTATCCTAGTTCCTTTGGTCTACAGTGACAGTTGTTTGATAGCGCTTAAGCCTGCATAAAATCTGTCTCACAACATACATGTTGGGGAGACAGCACAGGCCTGTGAATTTATTGAGGTCTTCATGATCATGAACATATCTGGCCACATATAGCACACGAGACCAAGGTCTTTGAAAATACATGAGAAATAGCAGTTACTTTTAGACTAAACATGAGCTTTTTCAAACAAAAAATCCTTTTGAAAATCAACAATAATTATTTCCTAAATTTAAGCTCTTACTGAACATCATTTAAAACACAGGAAGAACAAATGTAATGTTAAATATATACCACATCTTCACTGTTCACACAAAACTTAACATTTATTATTTGACCTTGCTGTTCTCATTAAACACACATCTATGTTGATCTTTGAAAGGAAGTTACAATGCTTTTCTGTATTATAAACCATTTACAAACAGGTCAGCTATGGGTTCTATGAAATAATATTTAACTGGTGACACTTCGTAAGAGTACTGGTGATAAAGGACCAAAGAACAACCACTAGATCTTAGAATCAAGGAGGAGACATTTCTTTGTGCCTTTAATATAGATACAGTTAGGGAAACAACAATACTTTTCAAAAATAAATAAATAAAAACACAAAACTAGGACCAAATGAAAGGGTTTGAGAATCTAACAGAGGAACCAGAAGTTCCATACAGCTGGAATGCAGTCATTTTTTCTTTCCTTCCTTTTTTGTCTTTGAACAACCAGTTGTTCTCTTACTGGCTGTGATTTTGTCAAACAACTAACTTGTAAATAAACAGAAAATGGTGAGGAGTATTGCTGCCAGGCTGATGGTTTTCAACTGGGCAGGAGGACAATTGAGCTGTACATTTCTGATGTTACAACACATTTCAAGGCAGTTGTCTTACAAATTAGTGAATTTGAAGTGTGCCTTTTTTCCCCATGTTACTGCTTTTAAAATGTACATATTATACTTTGAGAAGTTCAACTGTGTCTAAAGATGGGTGCTCCAGCCCTGTTTAAAAAGTATTGTATCTTGGCCCTGATCTAATGTTGCACAGAAGATTTAGAAGTATCACACAGCAGTCAAGTTAGTGCCGCCCACCTAAGCCTGCAAAGTGAGTGAAGCAGCACCTCTGGCAGGTGTCACCTGCCAATTTCTCACTGACTGGCACAGACCAAATCTCTCAGGACAATCAGTTCTGTAGGTGCCATGACCATGAAGCTTGGAAAAGTAATGAAGTCTAGTCACTTAGGCAGGCCTGCACATGTCCCCAGCACACTTGTGCAGCAATCCCAAGCTGACGCTACCCTGGTTGGTTTCCCTCTCCCTTCTAAATAGTTGCCCTAAATTCCTTCGCAAAACACCAAGTTCTCATTACTGAGAGCAACCCACGTTGTGGCTGGGTTTAAGAAACACACACCCCGACTGTCAGACCAAATAATGAAGGAAGTAATAAGTGGCAATAAGTGGCAAGTTCCAGGCCAGGCTGGATGGGGCTTTGGACAACCTGGTCGAGTGGGAGGTGTCCCTGCCTATGGCAGGGGGGCTGGAATGAGGTGATCTTTAAGGTCCCTTCCAAGCCAAACCGTTCTGTGATTCTACAAAGTTAACGAGTTGAACAGAACAGAAAATTTCTAAGTCCAAGCTGCAGCTTTTTCTGTCCTGGGGGCACAAATTTGAGTCCTTTCTCTAATCCCATCTGCTAAGAACTGTAACTTAAACTGCAGAAACTTGACTTTGTAACCTCTATCCCTGGATCAAATGCAGCTGAAATTAAGCGCTGGATTCAAAAATTATGAGGAGAAAACACAATCCTATATAGCTTGTTTTGTTCAGAAACTGGGCATGTAAACACTGTAGCATAATCATTGTGAAAATAACTAATGAATTTTATGTCTTTACTGTTTTCATTCAGGAGTCACACCACAAACTCAGCTATAACTGAACCCAGATTTTTACACGATGATAGTATAAACGAATCCAGAGAATGTAGAGACTGTTTCAATAAAACCGGCTTTGTTTTGCCACTGTACACAGGACCCTAAGTATATGTCACTTCATAAAGGTGAAAATTTAACAGGAATAAAACTTTATACATATTTTTTGAACTCACCAAGACTCCAGTGGACTGCCCTTCATGTAGACCCCTGCTTCTCTTCCAGTTTCTTTCTGTATCTCCCAAGGCTTAAGAAAAGTTCAGGGATACATAGCTCAGTAACTGAATGGTGACATTAAGTTTAAAGAATCAATGGATCTATTCAGTGTACCTTGTGTACAATGTACCTACTTTTTTTATTTTTAATATATATATAGAATAAGCATAAAGGTTATTTAAAGAATCACCCTAACATCCCGATGCCACCACCTGGATTTAGATCATAATTATCCGAATTTAGAGAATTATTTTAATAATAAGCGGGTCCCAGTTTCCTTCTCTAAAAATGGCATCCACTGTGCTCCTCGTAGCCTTTCTATTGCCCTAGCATTGAATTTTGACTCGTGTGTTTCTCAGCAAAAAGACATAGTTGAAATCAGAGGGTTTTATTTGCTGATGGATTCCAGGAACTGATGAAAGAAGGAAAGAAACTGAAAGAGTGTAATGACCTCTCCAAAACTCCAATAAAAGGAAGAGAGACAAAGAATAATCAGTGCAGAAAAGTTAACAGAAAACTGGACATTGGAGGAAAGGTTAGAAGGAGACAAGGTGAATAGGAATAGCCAGGGAAATGAAAGTACTTTAACAAAAAAGGGTGGAATAAAAGAAACAAAATTATCATCTTAGCAGAGCAATGAGAATGGGGTTTTCAAAACCATGTGACTTCTATTGAAGGCAGAGAATTACATCAACTCCAAATATGCTTTAAGAAAATCTTCAATAGACTTAACTTTAACCGTTTAACTTTAAGCATATGGAGGATCTAAACTCTGCTCAGCTAAACAACTAAAGAAGTGCTTAAATTAAAAAAGATATATATGAATAAATCATCTTGTAATCATTCCCTACGTCTGTAGTATCAAGCATGCATTCAGATCTGAGCCCCAACTCCTTACCCTGCTTGCATGCTGACTCACACTTTGGCGCTCGCCTGGCTCCAGCCTATTGGTTATCAGATAGGCAAAACTCAAGTACAAGACGCAAGGGACTAATGTGGATTCTCTCACCAGCTACACTCATGCGAGTATCGTGACTGAAGTACGAGATTAATTGTTTCATGAGGCAGAGTGTAAATAATTAAGTGCTTAAGGTTAATTTGAGAAGCAGGCCTCAAAAAGAAAACTAAAGGGAAAGTAGCTGAGGAAGAAAAAAGCAGCAGACTGTTGAATCTGTATTAAAAATAAATGACCTCTGGGTTATATCTCAATGCACTCTGCCTGAAAACTACTGCTTCTTTTTGGCTGAAGTATTAAATCTTATTTTTAATACATGAGATGGTAAATAACTCTGGCAAAGGTTAAATTCGGTCAGCGGTTGATGACAGTACTAAAGTAATCCTTAACGCAGGGTGTCATTCAGCTATAGGCACACAAGGCTCACCATCTATCTCTTCTGCCTACTAAACACACTTGCACTTCCAAACCCACTTTGGTAAATAATTGGGAGAGGATTAAGACCCAGTACTCCAATCTCTATGGTAACGCCCATAAATGTAGGAGGAAATGTGGAAATCATAAGGCCGCTACTAGGGTTCTGTCTCTTTTACTCCTTCCTCTACAACACAGTTACTAAAGGAAAACAGAAACCGAGCCACTCGGTTCAACACAGTGAGCCAACAAAGTTCTGGGACATCTCTCAGCATCCTGTGAACTTCTGGTCATTGTGATCCATCTGCTAAGCTATGGATCGATCTGTACAGCGTTACTTTAAGCTGACATTTCTCTGACTGACCATGAAGCCAGCACCAACACTCAGCAACTATACTCTCACATCTGCTCCTGCCACTAATACTCCATCTCCACCTACAGCTGTAAAAAAAGGAACTCCCTGTTTGTAAGATGCATGTTTAATAAATCCATACATCTAAGAATCACGACTTAATGTAGGTAGGGAGCTAGAGTAAGATTACAGACCTGACTAAGGCAGCGAGTTGGAGATAGAATTAGTTCCTCGACAGATTCATCACCCATTTCATAAAACGGTTAAATAATGTGCTGCTCTTTTTATGAGAATCGCGAGCATTACTAAAATTTTATAAATGTTTTGAAGCTCAGATTTCAAAATTTCCCAGAAATTAGGAAGCTAGGGAAGCAAATGAACAACTTACATCAAGCCATCTTAAAAGAAGTGAATCGAACAGCATAAAAGCAAACAAATTAGTGCTAGCTAAAGCATTTCCAGATCCCTCACTCCTGTATTAATTTCAATAGCACTTTGTTTAAATGCAGGCATACATATCCATAAAGTTTAAGCTTCAATCTTTCCAACAATTCCTCTTTATCTGAGTTTTACCCGACCGTCTAGTGCTGCTGATAAAAATACTCATGTGGACAGAGTTCAGCACATGCACAGGACTAAGGCTAAAGCAAGTAATAAATAAATTAGCTAATAAATTCAGTGTATCACTAACCATTATTTTGAAAAGGCAAGGACAGGCAAGATAATAAAGCTTGAGAAAGTAAAAACTGATGTACTGGGGGGAAGATGAGAAATTAAATCATGGTCCCAGCAATTACCCTACAAAAATATCTAACTTCAATGCCAGTTAAATAACAGAATAGATGCTAGGGAGAAGAAAACAATAGAGCATCCCCTCAATAACTTCATAGTCACGATAACCACACTATTTTCTCACCATTTGATGAGTCCTCTTCAGTTCAAGGCTGAAGTTTGTGGGTGCTGCAGAGAAGATCACTTTGCAACTGCTCCGCTGTAATTAATCCATAAAGAATGGGCTTCAGTTTTTTTCACAGGTTACAACCCAGCACTCTTCCCAACCATGCAAATCCATTGCAAATGTACAATATTTAGAAGTTAGTTAGGCAAAACATTTTAGCAAAACTTCGCCACTGAACCCAAGTTTAATAACAAATCTTTCTTAAATCCTCGGGGCGTGTTCATCATCATGAGTTAGGCCTACAGCTGTGTCAGTCAGTATCAGGTCTGAATGAAAATATGGTAAACCCAACTTTTTGGCTGTACCGTTAGTCTTATGTTATGCTGAGCATTTCAGACACTGAAAAAAAAAATAGATTGAAAGTTGGCTATTGAAAAATCAGGTAATCTACAGTAAAAAATAATAGTAATTTAAAAAAATAATAGGGTTTCCTTTCTCATCTATCTATTTATAGGAAAATCAATAAAGCAGATGCATGTCCTAATCCAGCACATACTTTTTGCAGTCCCTACTGCCAAGAGAAGTATCCCTAGATCAGGTCTGAATTGGTGAGTTTAGAATTTTTTTCACTGCCACTGCAGCCTAGCGCCCAAGCGATCATAAATAGTGCACACTTTGGTCCTTGCTAAATTACAACCTCCATCATTGCTCACAGACTGCAATGGCAAAAGTAATGAATACCAAATCCTGTGTTTGTCAGGGCAAATCGGAGGCTGAATGACTACAGAAGGAAGCAGAAAACTTCTAAATGAAAGAGGATGTTCAACTACAGTCACTAGATTATTAAACCGAAACCTTAAACTTCAACTGCTGTCAAATTTTCAGAAGAGGTCTGAAGGGAGGCCTAGCTGAATCCCTACCAGGGATCTAGCAAAGAAGCCTGGATAAGCACCAAGAGCAAGGCAGGGCTTAAATTAGAGAAACAAATATAAAAAAATGTTGGAATTCCCACTGGCTGCATGCACATGTGCCATCCCAAGCCCAAAATAAGCCGTAGATGTGCAATTCTTGAGAACATTGTTATAATTGCTACGTGTGGGTGTATCTTGGCGCCCTCCTTTTGGTCCTGCTCACGTAGGAACTGGACCAGGGGCAGTAACAGGCGAGCACCCAGGCAGACCAAAGCACCTAGCTAAAAAGTTGCCCAGTAATGACCCAACGCCAGTTTTCATTACAACAAATTCCTCTAATCCTCGCGGTTGTAAAATAAATCTTAAAAACACACAGCGAGGTAATTTGTAAAGTAATGCGTGCCTGAGTCAGAAGACAGCCTCCAGCTTTCTAATCACCCCCGGCTAGCTGGGAGCTTCTGTGCCATTTGGGGAGATGTGTATCTCGCTTGGGTTTTGCCACCTCCCAACTGGACCTAGGCAATTGGGTTTACCCAAACACCAAGTCGGCTGCAGAGAGGAAACTCAGGAAGCCGGAGGGGATGTCATCTCAGCAGTGGAGGTTATTACAAGTCCTTCTCTTCCACTCAATACTCATTTGCTTTAGAATTTTAAATTACAGATTCAGGGTCCCCAGATCCTCCAGGGCCTAAATCCAGGGCTCCCAAATGAATGCCAAGGCCTCTAGACCGCATCCAGTTGTCAACAGTTCCTCTCCTGACACAAGACAACTTGCACAACTAGGGGAGAAAAGCTAACATTTTTAGAGACAGAACATTCTCAGGGGCTGGTGCAAGTGTAGGGAATGAATACGCCTAGGAGCTAAGGGCCATCAGAACCCCCACCACATTTTGGCTTGAAGAACAAAACACATTACTCTGACCTTGCCTCACTAACATAAATGCACAACACGTATACGGAAAAAAAGGCAGATGAAATAAACTCAAAACATTCAGCTGCACATGCTCCTTCCCCTGGCAACAAGAGCCCAGATAATATGACAAACGCTGCTAACGTCACATGTTACAGTAGTGGGAGATTCTCCGAGAATATAATGACGCTCTCTGAGGACAGGCATCTCTCACAGGGGCCTGGCACCACTACAAGGTGTGCAGGTAGTGCTGTGACGAGAACTGTGTAAGGAAAGGAGTCCAGGAGAGAGGCTGCAGCTTTACCTCGTATCCGCTACCACAGCCGATCAGACTTCCACCCTTCTGATGAGCCCAAGTTATCTGGAATGGAAATCTGACCTAAAGAATTGACATCATTTTGGTGAGGCTCAAAATCCCTTTCCTCTCCCTTCTGTCCTCAGCTGTGTTCCTGCTGTGACTTTTTGGCTTCGCTAGTCACTGAGGAAACACACTGCTGATCCTCTCCCAGATGCTACAGCCAGAGAATGCAATACCCACCTCGTACTGCATGGATTATTAGACTAGAGCGACTGCCTTTCTTACTCCTCCTGATACTCAGTTAAATACTTCACCGTCCCGACCCTCAAATTATTATAATTGTGCAGGATTTAACTCACGTCCCAGAGATACAAATGGAAGATGTAAATCGAGCCCGTTGCATTCGGTTTATGTTTTGTGCAGTCCTAAGTAATACTGAGAATAAGGATTGTGTAATACAACTATCAGCTTAAGTCTGAAACACAAGAGCACAAGAAGGAACAGAGCCACTCGGTGTGCTTACACAGAACGAAATGCTTCTCAGCCTGTACAGGATCGGGGCCTGTGCGCGTTACGTGTGGAATCCGAGAGCGAGGATTAGATATTAGGGGATGTAAAAATCTCACTTTCATTAAAAATCGGAAGGAGACCTCAGAAAAGCCATCCGAAAGGACAATAGTGTGATTCATTTAAGAGAATACCCTGTCCCGTTAAACAGAATGACACACTATCTGCTGTATCTTATTTCTATATTATGGTTGGAAAAAAAATGGGTGAAAAATAATAGCCAGAATTACTTTAGGGCAAAACTATACATAATCTAAGTACAGAGGAGTGGTTGTAAGCAACATCATAATTTTATATTTTTCTTTATTGCTTTCATTGCTATTTCTACTACAAAATTCTAATTTCACAGGCACATAACCTCCAGAAAAAAAAAGAAAAAAAATTGAAAAAAATATGAGACATTTGCTATCATTGTCTTCTGTCCAAAAGCACACTTTCTGAAAATTTCACTCACAATAATTTTAATAAAATAAGAGTGAAAATGTAAAAATACTGCAAACCGCTTATATTTTCTCCCTTTCAAAGAAAAAGGTTTTATGAATTTCGAGGTTTGCATCTGGCTCATTTTCCCTGAGAACTCGCTTAAAAAAAAATAGGAATTAGTTTCTTGAATGATCCCGGGCTTGAAAAGCAAGGAAAATATCCGACATAAATGCATAATACTCGCTGTGTGATTACTTACACGTTGTTTTGCACTGCTTTTTCACTAAGGAGCTCCAGAATTACGTGTTTTTGTGTTTTGTTTTGTTTTGTTTTTTTTCTGACTAGCAGCACAGTTTTCGTAGCCATGATGGTCTAAGCTCTGTGAGCCCAAAAGCTTGCTGTTCTCTCCAACTGTGTCAGTTGGTTAAAAAAAAAAAAAAAAAGAGGGGGAAGAGAGAGAGAGAGAGAGAGAGAGAGAGAGAGATTGGCTCTCCCTACGGAATCTGCTGATATTTTCGTGGATTATTTTGGTGGATGCAGCTCTGGAAGCGGGCGGTGGGCTCCCGGGGAAGCTCGGGCCTGCTGACACTCGGCTGCGAGGAGTCCAGCTGGGCTGTGCAGGACCAGGATCCGTGAGGGGAAGCTTTGCAGAGCCGGTGGGGAGGGAAGGCAGCAGCTCCTCAGCTCGCGTCAGGCACTTTCGAAAATCCTCCCCGAGCCGCGGCGGCAGCGGCAACAACAACAGCGTGCGGGTCCGGGCTGTGTGTGCGTCTTATGGGGGGGAGCTCTGCTTTTTTATTATTTTTCCATCCTTTTCCAGCGAGCCTGCGAGGGAAGAAAAAAAAAAATAAACCAAAACACAACCCCAAACGGCGTTAGGAGCAGCGAGGAGCCGCTCGCCGCGATGCGCTCGGGCTCACTGCGGCCTGAGGGGAGCTATAAGGGGGTGGGGGGAGGCTCCTTCCTCAGCTCCTCAGCCCCAAGTCAAGTGCAAGAAGGGGGCTGAGCTCTCCCCGCGGCCGCTGTCGCCGTGAGGGGCAGGGGGCTGAGGCGGCTGCCGAGCAGCAGGTACCTCCCGCCGCCCCGAAAATGAAAGTTTGCCGCTCGTCCTCCCGGCGCTGCGAAACGGCCGGCGGCTGGGAGGTGGTGTGGAGGGAGGGAGGGGGGGGGGGGGGGGAAGGGTGGGGGGAGAAGTGCCGCTCCGTTGTGTTTCCCCGGTGTAAATGCGCGTTTTTGGGGTGTTTCCCCTCGGTTTTGGGGGCGCCCGGCGCGCTGCGGCTGCGGGGAGCCCGCCCGCCCTCAGCCGGGATGGGCTGAGGGGGCTGAGGGGGTGATGAGGGGGTAATGGGGTGATGAGGAGCTGAGGTGGTTGAGGGGAGCTGAGGGGAGGTTTGGGGTTTTATTTTAGGGTGGTTTGTTGGGTTTTAGTGCTTTTTTTCCCCCCGTGGGGGTGGGACGCGGGATCGAACCCGCGCCGCGCGGGCGCTCGGAGCCCTGAGGGGAGCCCTGAGGAGCCGGGACTGGGGGGGGGGGGGGGGGCTCCCTATTCCCTCCCCTTATCTGCCCCCAAAAAGCGCTGCCCCCCCCACACCCCTTGTACCTTGACAAGCCGGCGGGCCGCTCCGTCTCTCCGTGCTGTCCGCCTGTCTGTCCGTCCCGTCCCTCACCCACCTCGGGTGACATTTCCCTCCTCCCCCCTTATCCCCCCCCCTCTCTTCCCCCCCCCCCCCCCCCCCATAACCAACCACCATATCAGCGGCGGTTGGGTCGGGAGCGCGCGCGGGCGGGGAGGGAGGGAGAGAGGGCGGGCTGCGAGCGGGGCGGGGGGGGAGCAAAAAAAAAAAAAAAAGAAAAAAAAGAAGAAGAAGAAGGAGGAGGAAAAGGGGGGGGGGGGGAAGGGCGGCACTGACAGCGAGCGCCGTGTCCGCGGCGCTGCCTCAGCCCCCCCCCCCCCCCACCATCAGCACCACCACACTCCGCCCGCCCCCGAGCACCCCCCCCCGTTCCCGGCATGCCCCGGGGCGGCGGGGCTGGCCCTAACGAATTTGAATGAAGAGCCCAGCTCTTTCGGCGCCATTTTCGAGTGGTGCCCCAGCGCGGCGCTGCCGCGGGGCCGCTCGCTGCCGCCGCCTCCCTCCCTCTCTCTCTCTCTCTCCCATCCCCTCCCTCCTCCTTCTTCTCCTTCTTCCTCTTCCAACGTCCCCTTCTCCTCCTTCACCTTCTCCTCCTTCGCCGCCGATTCGGGGATTCGGAGCCTCGGCTGCGGGCGGTAAGAGCCGCGGGGGGAGCGGGCGCGGTTTGGGGGCTGAGGGAGCCCCCCCTCAGCCCCCTCACGGGTCGGCTCCCTCAGCCCTGGGGGACGGGGCTGTGAGGTGAGGGCTGCGGGGCCGGCCCCGCCGTGTCGTGACAGGAGGTGACAGGCTCTCTCTTTTACCCCCCCCCCCCTCCACCCGCCTTCCTTTCCCTCTGTGGAAATTATTTCGGGGCATCCCCGCCTCGCCTTTCTCCCCCCCCCCCCTTGTGTTTTCGTAACCCGGATTAATGCCCCTCCGCGCCCTCTCTCTCTTAAAATATATAATATATATTAAAAAAAAAGGGACAACCTTCGCCGTGCTTCGCCTTCCCTCCGCCCGTTTCCGTGCCAGCGGCTTAACCCCTCCGCCCCCCCTCCACCCCCCCCCCACCTCCTTGAACCCCGTGTCGCGACATGAGCGCCTGTCGCGCCGCCTTCCCAACCCTCCCTGGGAGGCTGAGGGGGGGCGACACAGCACAGCCACCCCCGGCCTTGTCACCCTGCCTGTCCCCATCCCTCGGGAGCCGCTTAACCCCCTCAGGACCACCTCTCCCCCCCCCCTCCCTTCCCCCTTTCCCCCTCCGTTTTGGGGCCACCCCTGGGCGATACCTTCCCCCTTTATTTTCTTTATTTTATTTTTTTCTCCTCATCCTCCAGCGCAGGATGCTCGGCTCCCTGTGCGTGTCCCCCCCCCCCCCCCGCCTTTCGGCTCCTTCCCCCCCCCCCTTCAGCCGGGAGCAACGAGTTAACGGCGGGGCGTAGGAGGGGAGCCGGGGTGCAGCGGGGCCGTACAAAAGCCCGCTGTGTGTGCTCGCCCGGAGCCTTAAAGCGAAATGCAGAAGTTTTTTTTGTATGTTTTTTTCCCCCTTTTTTTTTTTTTAGCCTTTCCAACACGGCAACTGGATCGCGATTCAAGGTATTTTTTTTATTATTTTTCCCTCCCCCCCCCCCCCCCCCCCACCTCCCCTTCCCTCCGTGTCACGCAGAAATACAATAGTCGGAGGAGGAGGCTCCGCCGAGTTGCCGTGCCTTGGGTTTTTTTTGAATCCAGTACACAAATTGCGCTTTTCCAGCCCCTTTTTTTTTTCTTTTTTTTTTTTTTTTTCCTTCTTTAATTTCCCTAGGAATAGCTGCGCCGCTCGCTCCCTACAATTTGTAGCTCCGTGCGCCGATAGCTAGGGAAACGCGGCGTAACCTCCGAAATCGCGATACTAGTAAGAGCCCCTGGAAATTTAGCACTTATTTCGGGAGGCTCGCGGCGCTACTTTCAGAGTGCTTCGAGAAACGGTTCGAGCAGTTAGCATGGGAATGTGCGCAGAGCTGTTTCATTCTGCCTCTGGACACTTGGAAAGGAGCAGGGCTGGAGGAGATTTGCACTATTCAGCGGTGCAAGCACACTCCCAGGCACTGACTTTCACTTTCAAGGAAATAACTGTCTTGCCTCATGGCTTATTTAGAGAAAAAGCTCTAATTCGGTGTCGTACAGGTGCGTATGCTTTTTTCCCCCCGCCGTCTGACAGCCGTGTTCGCTAGCGTGCAGTTTGTACCTATTTTCATTTTAATTAAAATCTCTGCTTGATACGTACTTGGCCGGATCAAACAATTGCTCTTTTTAGCTTTTTTATTTCTCAGCTGCACCATTCCCACATTTTATAATTACATAAAGGTGGGTGTGGCTAAAATGAAAGCAGCAAGCAATCTAGTATCAATCTATAGGGTATGTGGAGTAGCTTTTCCTTTCTTATATTTGATGTACTCCTTCTTTTGAGATATTTGGGGGGAAAAATCACGTAGGCTGAATAGACCCTTGTAGAGCTGCTTGCATTTTTCACCTTAGTTAAAATGTCAAACATTAACAGGGATTACTTGGCCCTGCAAAAGTTACATTCGGAGGAAATATCAAATTAACTTAAAGATCTCAACGTATGTATTTGCATTATATCGCTAAGTGAAAGTTAGAGGTCTGTGCCTAATAGAATATTTCTTCGGTGTATACCATGTACTACCTATACATTATTTTTTTAAATTTTTTTTTATTTTTTTTTGTGGGACCCTTTATCTGGATTCTCAAGAAAAAAACCTCCAAATAAGCCCCAGTTGTTCTCTTATTTTTTATATTTTTTTCTAATTTTTTCAATATTTTTTAAAGGAAAAAAATCGCCCCGGAACAAAAAAAAAAAAAACACACCAAGTTGTACTGAAAGTTTCCAAGAGCTACCCTTTGTGTTTATAGGTACAGATCTCCCGAAGCTTGGAATAACTCTGAGATTTTTAGTTTTCAGATATGTCGGTAATTTGAAAGTATGAGTTGTGTCTGACTGTGGTGTGTCTTGGGGGTAGAATTTCATAGGAATCCTATTGTAGTAACATTTTAAAGGCACACTATGCGCTTACAAGGTGTACGGGGGATTTTTTCTATTTTTTTTGGATTTTTTTTTCCATTTTAGCTTCTGGAATTCTGGACTTCTTACTCCTCCATCCAAAATGTAATGCCATGGGAGGGGATTTGCTCCTCAATTGTAGCCTTTATTTCCTTAATTATCCTCGCAGTAATGAGTCCAATTCTGCAGCAAAGTACAAGTGGAGCTGCAAGCACACTACCTGCCCCCATACCCCCTGCCTGTTGAGCACTGCAGGGAAGGTGCACATCTCATCCATCCCCAGTGTCAGAAGCCACCCTAACAGGTGTATCACCGCTTTCCTGTGGCGCTTTTATCTACCTACAAGCAGGCTACCTTTTCCTTCCCCAAAAGTTGTCCCATAACAGCATTTCTGTTGCAGGAACTTAGGGATTTTTATTTGCATTGGGAAGCAGTGAACCACTGAATGTGTGAAGGACAACAGGGGAGGTTAGCACTCTGTTCTCCAAGTATGCTGCAGATCCTCTGGGTCGGAGGTTTACTCATCCACCCATACCTAAGGCCCGGTGCTAGGCATTCCAGTAATCCTCATTTAGTACAAATTGTCACAGGTAAAATGCATCTTGGGCTTGCTTTTTCTGTCCCCGAAAGAAATGGGGAACGAAATTGGAGGCTTCTGTGTGGAAGCAGAAATATATTTTCTTGATATTTTTTACCAAGAAAAATAACTTGGTGTACACACACCCGACTTTTCCACAGATGCTGTGTGTGTGTGTGTATTATTACAGATTCTGGCCACTCAACATCTAACACTGGGACCTGATAGCAAAAATTATGCTATTTCTGTTATCAGGAATACTTGGGGAAATGCTGTTTGAACAGGCTGCCCAAATTACTTTTGTACATAGTCTTCTGTGACTCTTCTCACACAGACATCTAATTTTTTAATAGAACTAGTAATGTACTTTTAAGGCAGGGATAATTATGATGTGCCCCATAAATATGAAGGGGGCATCACACAGGGTGGAGATGTGTAGGCAGGGATTTCCAATAACTTTTTAACTCTGTGAAATTGTTGCTTTGCGATTTTATTTATTTATTTTGTGAATTATTGGCAGGAGCCCTGTAGAATTTTTAGGTAACTGATGCGTTAATACACAGCAAGCTAGATAGGCTTAAAAAGGGATCTAGATGGTGAAAAACATCTGAATTTTGGAGGTTGGGCGATTTCAGAAATGGTTAGATGGAGCTAGGTAGAAAAACCTCTGCCCATGTTTAATAGGGTGTCAGGCAACGTCTGTGCTGAATTTTTTTTAACCCTTCGCTGTGAGCTTTCAAAGCACTTGAATTGTGGTGTGAGAACCTCTGGGATGTATCTGTCGGTGGCACCCTAACAGTGCAATAGGTTTGATCTTAGGTTCGTGTGCTTGCTGCTGGGTGAGAACTTCCAGCAGGCTTGCCTGAACATTCGAGGGGAGAGCAGAACTTGAGCTCTAATGCAGCTAATTCTCAGTTTGACAGTTTTCTCCTTGAATATTAACATCTAACAATATTTTAGCATATCATTTAAAAAGAGAGGAAAAGGTTATCTTTCCAGAGAGCCCAAAGTTTCATTACTTTGTATAATTCTGAACACTTCTTCATATCTCGGCAGGGAGCAGTTGCCAGTGTGTAGGGATGACCTCGCACACACGCAGACACACGTTTATTGCCACATACAGAACAGGAGAAAATGTAAAGCGTGTACATTTAGCTTTTATTTTGTTAAAAGCTTCCCGGGATGTCTCCTAAAACTGAAGATGATGCTGTTATATTGCTCAAAACTGAAAAATAGCAGTGACTTTCAGTGATCGTTATTAATGTCTAAAGGAAACCACTGTTAGAAATAGGCACGGGGGTTTTTTTCCCCTATTTAGTTTGTTTTCAGAAACTGCAATGAGTGTATCAACAGTAAATAGATTATTAATAAACTTTTCAACATCAAATCTAGTTGCAATTAATTATTTTATTTCGAGTGAGCTAAAACTCACTTTGAAGTCTCGACTGAGAAAAAGAGAATTACACAAGGATTAGAGCTGAACCTTATATTTTCATATTAGACGATTTTCTCTAAGTTTGGTTTCAATATTATCTTTCAGATTGTTAAATCTCAATATAAGCGTGGGGGGAACTTTTGAGAAGCATTTTTGTGTTTCTGGCTTAAAGGCACAAACTTATTTTTCTAAAAAATACAAGAGGTGCAGCAGATGAGGTGTGATATACATGAAAATAAAGAAAATTCCTTTTTCTTATTAAAGCAGGGTGCTTGTTTGAGCTCCACAGCAGTGGAGATTTTTTTTACTATTTTTTAGAATACGATTAAGCAGCAAAGAGCAAAATTATCGAAATATTTGGAAGCAGGTGACCTGATCTAGGCATCTGCTGCTCATTTATTAGGCACTGGATGTGTCTTGTCATGGTATCTACAGTGAAAAAAAGTCCAAATAAATTTAAGAAATTGGCTGTGTGAGTGTGCAGTTTTCTCCAGTAGATATTTGGATATAGTTGCTGCCTATATCAAATTTTACTTTGTTCTTACCTGATTACTCTCAGGACTTTTTTTTTTTTTTTGAAGGGGGGTGGTGTAAACTGTAATTTTATTTTTAATTTTTACTCTGAGTGTATTTTATGTCTCCACTATTTCCACCATGTGTTATAAAGAAACCAATATTTGTTCAGCTACATTTTAATAAAGGTAGTAATGGGGGTTGCCTTGAAGAGCAGAAATTAAAGCTCCTTAAAGAAAACACTCTAAGTTAAATACTTAATAGTCTGTAGAATATTTTGGGAAGCGTGACAGCAGTAATCACACATCCTTTAAGTAGTTTGTACTTACCTGTTTGCTCGTTTGAGGGTGGAGGGAGAGATTAGGAGGGGTTCTCCCCCTCCACCCCCCCCTTTTTTTTTTTCTTCCTCTTACTTTCATCTTAAAATGCTGCAGGAAGAATGAAAGCAGAGCATGCTAATCTGATTTGTTTCAAGAGGCTTCTGATAATAAAGAGGCATATCACAGGTGTTCCTAATCAAGTCAGTTTGGTTTTAGGAAAAAAAAAAGAGTATTTTTAAAATTAGGATTTCCTGTAACATAGACAATGCGAGGGTCAACCTGATGACCTACATCTATGTTTGGGGATCAACCATGAAACTGTGGGTGTTGGAAATATGTTATAATACATGACATTTTTATTGCAGGTTTCGACCTTTCAATAGAGAGCTGATTTTGGAGAACGGCTTAGTCCTGTGATTGAAAAACTCTTTCTGGAAGGTTGATGGAGCATGAGCATGGTATATATTATATTAACATTTCTCTTATTACATGTGTTCTTTATTTAAAAAATGCATATAGTAAATGTAACTTTTTTGGATTATTCAAAATAGGCCAGTTCTTCTGGGTTTATTCAAGATTTTTTTTGTTTGGTAAAATAATTCTTAGTTACACTCCTTCTGTAAAATTTTAAGAGACTAAGGAAAAGTATTCACACAAGCTGTCCTCGGGAGGAAATGAAGTGGCCAAAATATGTACAAAAAGCTGAGTTCACAACAGCCTTGATCATAGAAGTTATATAAATTCCCTATATAATATTGCCCTCAAATTCTTGTATTGGGAATTACTCCAACTAAAATGTTGTTAATCTGAAAACAAAGTATAGGGCATATAAGTGTTTGTTTTTAAGTAACTTAATTTTTTTTGTTGAGAGGGTGTGCTGTAGAAAATAACAGAGAGCTAGCTGACTGCATTTCAAATGTGGTGTACAAAATTTATTTTTACATATATTAAAAAACCTAGCTACTTGACAAGCTAAAAAGTAGGGAACAAGAAAAAGTGGTCTTCAGAGGCCTCTACCTGTGTCAGCATAGTCAGAAAATTAATTTAATGTATGTATTTGTCAGTAAATGGATTTTTATGTAGTAAAACACTGAATATTTAAGAATAATAAATACAGACTGGCGACACTCATACTGCAAGTCCTGCTTTGCACTAAAGGTACTAATTTGGCTGAAACTGAGAAATCCATTCAGAGTAATCATAACCTATCTATTTGTATATGAATAATCTTAACTAACCATTTATATAAACAATTGAAATTAAAATAGTAACTGTTCTTGGATTGAGTAAATTTGTTTAAATATTAAATGGAGCAGTAAAAACTGTAAAACTTTATCTTCAGCAAAATATATTACAGTACAACAAATTTTATGAACATGTCGTGACTTTAGCAATTCCAGCTTTCAGCTGGAATCCAGTTTTTATCCTTAATCAAATCTGTCTGTCTTTAAGAACACTTTTTTTTTCAGGAAGTAATTGTGCCATAAAATAGGAGAAGTTTTAAAAAGCAAAATTTGAGATTATCCTAGTAACTGCTAATTTTTACCAAGCAGATCGAGTGAAGTGTAAATTTCATCTTTCCTCAGTGTTGTAACTAATGTCTAATATAACCTAGGAACTGCTGGCTTTTACCATTTATACACCTCCTGTCATAGAAGTAATCGAGGCAGACATGTTCTGAGTCTAGTTTTCACTATATGAAAAATATAGTATGATTTTATGGGTAGTTCAGACCACCTACAGAAAATTATCAGTTCAGAAACAAAACTTTGAATACAGAAAGTGTAGGGATCTAGAGGAAAACAAGTGAAACAGAAGTTTATGTAAACTTTGCAATTCGTGATTAGTGAATAGGTATTTTTTAAAATTTTTTTCCTTTTCTGTGCTTAACAGTCGCAATAAAACTATTTTTATTAATGCTGTTAGTGTTTGGGTAACATGTCTAATATGCTCCCAAATAAATAAATATTTTACAGTCTGTCCAGAAACTCTGCTCTGAATGTACTGCATGTGGGTCTGGTTGTTTTTTTTTTCTGGTTCTCTTAAGAATATAAGGATTTCACAAAACACCTCTTTGAATTTGTTCATTCTTTTTGTTCCTTTTTTTTTTTCCTGTACAAAAGCAATTACATTCTTGTTAATGAAAATCAGGATTATATTGCAAGGCAAAGGTATCTAAGGCTCCCTTGTGACATATTTAAAAGGTGAAAGTTTGATGGAGTGTTCCTTGGGCTGACACAAGTTCAGAGTATTTCTCATAGGTTCTTATTCAGCAAAAAAAAAAAATATAATGCCTGGTTCACAACTGTATATCAAAGGATTTTTAAATTTAGGGCCTAATTCTGAAAACTTTTAAATACACAAGTAGTCCTAGTGCCTCACTTCCACAAATAAGGATTTGCAGAACCATGTTTGTCCTTAGATCCAAACTTTTTTTATTTTTTTAATTAATAAAATATATAAAACTATTCAGAGCTTTTGAGACAAGTTAAATCACTTTTAAAAAGACCAAAGAGGAGAGTTTTGCAGTAATGCAATTATTATCTTCCTCATTTACAGGCTGAAATCCCTCTCAAGAGTGCTGCAGTTGTCAGTTACCATAAGAAGCCACTTTTCAAGTGTTGATTGGCTCTAGAGCACTTTTAGGCTGAAATTTGGCCTAATTAATTTTATTCTAGAGCTGGGCAGCCTGTTTGTTCTAGAACTGGGCAGCCTGGCTGTTTCATGCCCCACAGAGGAGGTGAAACTTTGAAGGCTTGTGGGGTGTGTTTTAATTTCTTACCCCTGGCTCCTGCTGTTGCAGTTTTTATTTACCAAAACTAGCGATTTTGTTGGAAGTTGAGCCTGAAACAAGGGCTGCAGTGCTGGCCCCTTAAAAAAAATTGTTGGTGTGGCTATTGCAAATTGTATGCTTGACTTCGTCAACTGTTTTGCAATATCTAATTGTAATGAGGCTGAAAAGATAAAAATGTACAGGCTTCTCTGCTGGAGTGCTTCTCAGGGGTAACTTTTTCATGGCCACTTTTACTGTCCGTAATGTAGGTGCACACTCGAGGCTCTGCAGACCTCGTTGCCTAAATCATGATTTGATAGCTCACAAAGCACACTCACTGCTCCTCTGAAAGACTTGTTGCAGATAGCTGTCAGCTCATCTGTGCTTGCCTTAAGGACTTCTGGTGCTTTTCAGAGGCAGCTTAAATAATATTCCTGAAAGAGAGATGTAGCTATAAATGCAGCCCATGTCCCAGTTGTTACAGCACATGTAAAATCAGGCATTGTTTGCAAACCCTGTGCTATCTTAGGCATGGCTGGTTTAGATTTTGAAATCTGAAAGAACTGAATTTTCTGGATTTTGTTAGTTTTAACTAGATCCAGTCCTAACGTTATTTTAAAGTGGAGTTTCGTGTACTATTAGATTGAAATAAGCATTAATTTTTTATTATTAGACTAGACATTTAATGAAACAGCTGTACAGCAAGGATTTAAGAGTGGTGTACTTACACCTCATTTTTCCTTGTCTGTTGGTGAAGCGATCCTGCAAAGCAATTGAAAAAGAATAACAAATGATATACAAATTCGTCAGGAAAAATAGTTAAAACGTGCTAACTGGCATATTTAAATGCTCGTGCTTCTCCCTCCAAGCCAAAGGCACAAAAGTAGGGTATTGCCCCTTCTTATTTATTTATTTATTTCAACAGAAGCAAAGCAGAGGTTTGTGTAAACCCACGCATTTAAGCTGTGGGTAGGGGGGAGAGAGAAAAACCTAATCCCAGTTTTCAGAAATGTGCAGCTACTGCCTAGATGGTTGTTAATCCACCTTGTTTTGGGCTGCTGCTCACAAACTAACATGAACTAACATGAAAAAAGAGCATATATGAAGAGGTGATTGCTAATTCAGTAGTGTTTCTGTAATAACCCACTGCTTCTAGCTTTGTCAATTTTGAATTTATTTTAAATAGATGGATATTCACAGTAGATTTTTATTTGCAAGCCTGTTGGGGGGAGATTTTTTTTCTTTTTCTTGCTGGGGGGGGATTTTTTTGGTAATATTATTCACAATTTTTACAGCAATATTTTGAGGAAAATTATTGCTTTTAGTAAAATATGCTACTAAGATGAGTTTAAATCAGGAGATAATTGTGCCTCTATTTTTTAATTTGTGCAATATCTAAAAATCTTGGTAGTGTGCAAATATCTCCAGAATATTTACACCTTCCCATTAATCCACTAAATTCTAAGAGTTTGCTTTTTATTTCCCTTGTCCTCTTTTTTTGTGTATTTTTTGATGCCTTTGAGCAAAAAAAAATTCATAATTTTATCTATCCACTTAAAAGTTGACATGGGGTGTATTTTTTTCTAGTAAAATATGGATTTAAGTGTTAATTTTCAACATCAGTAGGTTACTTTCATATTATAATATTTTTAAAAAATATATATGATCTCCCCAACTCCAACTGATAATTCCCTACATCAAAATAGCTCTAAGTCACTTAGATTTATTGAAAATTTAGGGGAAGACAGGAATTTCAGTGAATCTGAGAAATAAAAACCTTGGATTTAGAATTTCTGTGTTCTTTCAGAGCACTTTTTTTTTTTCCCTTGGTAGAATGTGCAGATCCTGTGGTCCTAAGGGTGTTATCACTTGAGTTATTCTGCAAACACTTTGCTTCCCCCTGCGAGAAGCTATAACATATTTTAATTGGGATGAGGAATTTGAAAAGGAGGATTCTGTTGTGAAACATTGTAACTGCTCTTAGGAGAAAGCCTGTCTATAAATACACTGAAAAGTCTGTTGCAAAGCAGGGTTCCCTGACGTGTCTGACAGTACCACCAGTATCTTGCACAAGCAGACAAACCCCTTCTCAAAAACAATGGGCTTCTGCTTAGGTACTTGCCCTGCTGCCCTCAGGCTCCCCACATCTCGAAGATTTTCCTCGAGTTCTCAGGAGAAGGGAGAATGATGCTTTCAGTGACAAGCACAGCAGTTACACAAGCAGCAGGGAAAGGTGTATTTTCCTTCATCTGTTTTATAACCTGACTGTGTTTCAGTTCTCAGGCAGCATGGCTGTACTTCTGTATGACAGTATTTATTTTTTTTAAGCAAAGGATCTTCTGTTGATCTTAATTTCTCTCTCTCTCTAGCTGATAATGCAAGGGTTACCAAGAATACATTTTCTATACTTTGTCCTAAATTCATTGCATCTGAGTACAAGAGGAGATAAAACATGGTTTGAAACAGCAAAGAAAATGCTTGGACTTTTCTTTCTGGAATTACAAGGTTTAAAATCTGGATTTTCATTTGCACAGCGCCTGTTTTGCATCCAGGTTTAGAGTGTAACTAGGAGATCCTGGAATCGGCAGTGAGAGTAATTCCTCCTGAATATCAGTGCTCGTAGGCTGGGTTCTGTTTTTACACCAGTAACTCTTCAATTTTCATGAAAGTTTTGATTCCAGCTATGTCACTGTAATCACAGTGAAGCTGGCTGTGAATACAGCGTGTTTGTTTCAGAAATCGATATTTTGTGAAACTGCATAAGAAATTATTGGAAATGTAAAATACAAGAATGTTCTGAAGTTCTCTTAAACTTATTGTCCTTGATTTTTTTTTTCTTCTGTTTAGGAATACAGACTTCCTCTTGCATTTTTGGTGTGTAATACTCTGTTTGTCAACCTCACGGTCTTCTGACATGCAAACGATCCTCCAAAATGCTGTTCAAATTGTCTTAAAGTTTTATTTTTAGATTAATATAACTTAAGTTGGTGACCCACTTTCCATTATGTAAAAACCTGAACAGAACTTGTCACTGAGGTAGGAATTCATATAGGCTAACACTAGAGGGCAATTCAAAGCAAGAGTCCACCCCAGAGCAGTTCAGGCCTGCTTGTGGCCCCGTACTGAAAAAGAGGGAACCTGGGGGGGACTTTCTGTGGGTCCCCTCTCCAGGCAGAAGCTGGCCTTGGCGATTACCCTCCCAAATCTTCTTTACTGGATATGAAAAGCAGGTTAAATAAAACTTAGGTCTCTTGGAGCGCTCCACTGAATGAGAAGGAACTTAAACCAGTTCCTACTGCTTTGCTGAATTAAAAGTTAAGAAGCCTGTTTGACAGTTTCTCATCTCGTTCGCTCTTGCCACTGTTAAAAGGCATAATTTGTGGTCTTTTTTGTTTCTTTTAAATGTGCTACGCTAAACCCTTTAGATCTTATGTGAAAGATGCTGGGTTTGGGGAGGTAAAGTAATATTGCACTGAAACTTAAATGCCTTTTATTTTCAAGTATCAAAGAAAATATTCTGGATTTGCTGAAATATGTTAGTAGCTGAGAAACCATGTTCTTTTTAACAAATATTAACAAATGTGCAATAATACCAATAGCCAGGAGAGCCCTTATAAAATACTGCTGAGTTATTTGAATTAAAACGAAAGTATAAATTGATTTCCATTTTAAAAACAACATAAGGCATCAGACAGGTACTTTGTGTGTGTAGTTTTATCAAGCAAAACCTATCAAATGCAGAAACTCGGCTGAAGTAAGATGAGCAATCAAGTGCTGTATTTAGTATTTAACTGTGGAGGAGTGATCATCTGTGTATATTGTGCATGATTTAAACAATTTACATAACAGTGCATTACATAATAAATTCTCGTTTTCACGGCTTGCGACGTTCGTTACAGATCCACGGAACGGCTCAAACGCTTGTAAATAGTAACCTGTAGTGCAAGGGGTGATGTCATGGGGCTTGAAATGCACTCAAGAATTCTTATTTTAGCAATGCAGACTCCCTCGTTATACTGAGATGTATGCATCCAGCCATGTGAATGCTTGCAAGTGCCATGGTACAGATTTCTACACCAAGGGTATTTTATCAGCTTGTGTGTTTGTCTTCCTATATAGTTACACTTCTTATTTTACATACACTTACATATAAAAACACTGATCTGAGGTTAAAATGGCACGGTTACTCCTCCATTCTGCACCAGTTTTCAAAAATTACCATCTTTGCTTTCTTTCTACAGTTTACTGTAGATATCTAAAACTTATTCTTGCTTTTACTGCTTTTATTATTATATACAAAACATTTTGGCAGTGCCACAAATGGATAGAAATACTGCAGTGCATTGTTACAGTAATTTGCCCCTGTCTCTGCAGGTCTGGTCAGCAACTCCAGTGCAATTTGAAAATATGTAATCTGCTGGCAGTGATGTACCCAACCTTAATCAGAGCTGGAGCCTTTGGAAGAGAGCTTGTGTCATCGCAGGATGTATAGTCCCACAGTGACTGACCTTGATGAAACTGTGACAGAAGAAAACAGGTTTCGCTTTGTTTTGCTTTTCTGCTTTATAACTTGCAAAATGCAACAAACAGAAAAAAGGAAGACAGCTGAACACTTCTGTGGTTAGCTTCTCTGGGTCTTAGAGGAGGCTTTTGTTTTAGTGGGGGGGGAGCAGTAAGGAATTAGTTGTGATAATCAGGTTCAGTGATAGAAGATATCCCAACCCTACGTATGAACTCTTGATTTTTGAGAGTATGAATTTTTATACAAAATCTGGCAGAGTATTCAAATGATTAAACCAAGCATACATGTAAGCTTTTAAGGAACTGAATTCTTAGTCTTGTGAAGGTAAGACACTACCAATCTGTGTCAACATGGCTGGTTTTTATATATTTTTTTTCCTTTTACTAGTTTGATTTTTTTTTTTTTTGGCCCTAAATCAAAGGGATAAGTTCTGCTGATAAGTGAACGTTTAAGGCTGTCTTCGCAATTTTATTTATTTGAGCAAAGCAAGAACAAATGTGGAAGTATAAGCAATGTGCAGACCAATATTGCAATATTGTTCTGTTCTGTCTTTAAGCAGGTGGTTTCATGTGGCAGGCTGGAGGAGAGATTCTTTTTCTTCCCAGCTTTTGACAAAAAGATGACGCATATGACTCAGAATTAGAAGGGGAAATCTGCCAGTTTGCATCAGTTCCTCAACTTGTGGGTTGCTATTCACCACAAGGAAAATTGGTATACTCGCACCAGTGCTTCTTGAGAGATGAAGAGTAATCATTTCCTTCAGAAAGTGTAGGATGATTGGAGTAGGCCTTTCGTATGTGACACTAGGCTTTTCCTATAAGGTATTTTTCAACTGTCCTAATTTTCTAGGAAGAAAGGGAAACAAATAATGTTCTGAAATGCTCTTTTTAAAATAGGGATCAGGTATCTTATAGCTTAATGCAGAATAAAAGCAAAGGAATCTGCTTCCTTCTCAAAATATTCTCTCTTGCTGGATTTCAAACAGAAACCATAATAGATTTCCACAGTCAAAAGGTAAGTTATTTCTGTGTGATTTTCTTTAATTCAATCCCATATATCTCAATCTCCAGTTCCAGCTTTTAAGTAAGCTAGTAGGACTAAAAAATATGTAAGTATAGTGAAATTGAGAGCAAAAGGCTTCACTTTTGAAGGGGAAAATACTTAACATGAAATAAGGAAGATCTGATTTTCAAAATGTTGTGCTTTAGACCTGCTAAAAAAAAACAAGACAATTTTGTGATAATTCAGATTGTTTCATATAGGGTTTGGGATATGAGGGAGAGTTCTCTCAATACTGGTATTTCCTCAAAGAATATACTATCAACTAGCCTTTTATTTAAAAAAATGGGGGGGGGGTCAAATACTAATTAAGATATTCATGTCTTTTTATGGAAAATTGATTGGGCATTTTGATAGGATTGATAATACAATTAAGATTTCTTGATCACTGCTACTGTGCTTTTAGGCATTGGATTTTACATTTTTTTTCTTGATATATTAACTTCTGGTTAATTCAGCATGGTTTTACTTTAAGCTTGTTAGTGAAATATTGAAAATCTAGCTTAATATAAAGCCTTAAGAGGCACCCAGCATCCTCTTTTTTTTTTTGTAGTGGATAAAGTTCCTTTTATTTAGCAAAAACCGTTGTCATTTTGAAAAGGTATATCCTAAGTGAATCTCATTTTCCTACCTGGAAAAATTGATTTCATGTTTAACAATTTGTGTCAGCCTCAGGAAAGCACCATCTTCCTGTGCATTAGCTCAGTTCTGTGGGTTGTCTCCCTAGTGGGGGAGTGGGTAACCTCTAAATGTTTTTTAGATGGGAGTATGTACACGTGTGTGTGTGTAGATGGATATCTTGTGCATGAAGAGGGCTGAGGGAGCGGGGAATAAAACAGCCTTCTCTCTGAGCTGCTGCTCCTGCCTGTTTCTTCAGCTACCATTGACTAAACAATCTAAGTAGATAGTATGATCAGGAGTCTGCACCCCAAAGGCATTAAGAACCCCCTAAAACTTGTTATCAATTAACTGCTTAAATAATGAAGTTGTAGAAGTAGAGCTAAAGATTGGAAAAATTACAGCAGTTAGCAGGAGGTGTTCCTCTGCTGTTAACTCAAGGATTCCATTAACTGTTGAGTCAATTTCTTCTAACAGTTTGGTGTTACCTTTCATAAGTCATACAGTTGTCTGGCATTTCATAGAAGTCATGTAGTGATGATGTCAAGATTCAGAAGAAAAGACAAATTTACTGTCGGAGCCAAAAGGCAGGCGCACAAAAAGCAACTTCTTTCAGGACACGAAAAGCTCTTTGTTCTGTGGCCTTGGGTTTTTTTTGTGCTTTGACCCTTATTTTACAGCATTGTCACTCTGACCCTAAATCTTCTGAAGCAGACGTACAGCAAATTTAGCCCTCTACAAGTGGGGCTGCATTCGGAGCTATAGGCCTCTTTTTGGTCTTCAGTTGTATTATTATAGTTCCATGCAATCCTAAGATGCAACAGAATTAAAAATATGTATAATTCTGTCTACTGCAAGTAGTATTAACTTACATATCAAGGCATTTTTAAAATATATTCATTTGTGTGCATAATGCTATATTGCCATCTCATGATTTATTAGTATTTACCAATTTCAGATAGGATAGCAAGTAGGAGGGCAGCCTGGCTAAAACTGACTAATGCATTTTCCACTTTCCCAGCAGTACTTTGGAAACTGATCCTGTGCACTTACCACCAGGGTTCCTGCAAAATGCTACTTGAGCGTTAAGCATTCTGTTGAGGACAAGAAGAGCTTTGATGTACATTCTGGAGTTAGAATACTTAAGCAGCAATACTCGCCTGCCTTTCTTTCATAAAAGACTCGGTGCCAGCTTAGAAGAGCATAAAATTTTACTCTAGGCCTGTGACTGCTTTCTTGGGCTAAAAGAGCAAGTTTTCTGTGAATTTGGGAGGAAGAAAGGAAAGGTTAATTTTCTTAATTCTTTAAGAAGGCTAGAAATGAATGAAAAGTACCAGAAACCTTAGAGCTTGCTTAGATGTTCTGAATTTTTATCCTTTTAGCCTATTTTTTTTTTTTTTTTTTTTTTTTTTTTTTTTTAGGAAGAGCTAGGAGGAATGTAATATACTTAAGAGAATCTGTTTCCCTGTCTTTAATAACTTTCCACTACAACGGTGCATTTATGCTGGGTGGGTTTTGTTATTTAGGGAGGGATTCACCCATTTTCTCCTCCACCAGCAATAATTCCAAATAGTAGGTTTTATAAACTTGAACTGTAACAGTAGGATAATCTTTTCTGGAGGTAACACTACAAAGACCTAAGCAATAATTTAACAGTACATGTTTATTGGAGAACTTGAAGAAAAATAAGTATGTTGATTTTATTTTTTCATCTGAAAAGATGTTATGAAACCTTTTTAAAAGACCTACAGGAATTGAAGTTGTATTTCAAGATAGCCCCTTTCTTTTTTGGTAGATGCACCAGACTAAGTATTGATATTTTTGTGATTAAAACTGGGGGGGGGGGGGGGAAAGGGCTGTTTTAAAAACTGCTATAATAAAATATAAAAGTCACTTCCTAGAACATAGAAAATATTGTCTTAATTTTGTATGTGTCCTTTGAAGCAGAAAGAGTGCTGGTACAGATTGGAAGTGTTCTCACAGTTTTCTTCTTGTGTGCATGCCAAAGGTGCAGGGAAGACAGATTTTTAAAAGTTGAGTGCAAGCTATACTAGTGCAATAAAGAGGGATCTGGAAAGCTTTTCTGAAATACAACTCTTACAAACTCTTGGACCCAAAGCTTGTCAGACTTTACCAGTTTGCTTTAAAATGTTTCATATAGTAGTATATTTAATGCATCAACATCTGACAAAACACTTTTTAGAAGCTGGGAAAAGAAGTGTGAGGAGTTAGTCTTACTCAATTTTGGTTTTAAGCTACTCAATACTAAAATATATTTCTGTATGTTGTCAATGCATGTTTTTCATAATATTTCTGTCAGCTTCCCTTTTTTTGCTAGCAGGTTATTTAACTAACTTTTGGTTTCTTGCCTTCCATGTAAGTCCACAGCATTTTGGTTGCTATCCATCGTTTCTACAGAAGCCTTAATATTGCACTACCAAATAACTGTTTTTATTTCCTTTTGTTTTCATGACTGCAATGAAGAAAGAGTGCACCTCATACAACAGGACATGTGAGTCAGGCTAGTATAAGCTGTGCTTGGAGTACTGAGATAAAGGAGAAAGGATATAGAACTGAATTTGATGCTGACAGGCCATAACTGCATTTCCAAATTTCCGTGTGTTTTTAAACTTCAGACTTTCTTAATGCTGTAGATACTGGTTTTTATTTTTAGCTGGCTTTGTTATTTTATGTTTATCTTATGCAGTAGTTCTCCAGATAGTCTAAATATGTTTGTTCATGGTCCTTGGAGAGATGGCTGGACACATGATGTAGATTCTCCAAATTTAGTAGCAGTAAATTTCTGTAATCAGCAGTTATCTGCTTAAATTGCACTAGTAATATTTTACACTGCAAAGGTTTCTGTGTTGTTTGTTTTTTACTGTGATTTTGTGGAGGAAAATTGTTGACATGGCCATGAAACAGTTAACAGATAATCCCCTTTTTTTGTCAAAGTTTGTGTGCTTGGCTTTACCCGTAATTTACAAACAAAACTGTGGAGCAGTGCTTGTTATCTCTGTTCAAGTATTCAGCCTTTTGTTCAGAGGATTACTCAAAGCGTTGTGACTCTTCAATACAAATTTATTGTAGTCTTAAATATTCAGCTGCTTGGTAGAAGGTAGGGGAAGATTTATACACGGAGAGTGTGTAAGCTTGATCCTGACTGACTTGCCCCTCTGTGGGGTGAAGTGGTGCTAATTTATTGCTTGATTACAGTCATTTAATAATAATCCTTACGAAAAATGCTAGGTCAGTGCTTAAATTTGAGTTCAAAACCTTACTGTTATTTCAGGAGAAAAGGTATAGAGCTTGTAGAGCTCATTCTCTTCATTCTTTTTTTAATGTGAGCACGAAGTAGCCTCAATTAAGCTGAGTGTACTGATGTGACATCATGTTGTACCTGAACCAAATAATAACACAGTAATAGCCAAAAGTACACTTATCTTTAAGCTACAACTTCGAAGCTGTATTTCTATTGAATCTTTCCTTTTTATAGTATGTATGTCACTTAAGGGATGCTGACATTAATAATTAGAGGTAAAGAGGGCTCGTTAGCAATAGCAACCAAAAGGATAATAGAATACTTAACACGCATTTCCTTTAAAATGCAAGTTTGAAGAATGAGCAAAAGTTAGAAAATGCTGTGTGTTTGCAGCACAAACATTACAGCATTGAGTAAGCATATGACAAAAAGTGAAACTACTATTGTTTAAGCTGGTGGGGAGAAAAGTAAACAGTGTATTATCAAGGCTCAGCTACGTACACTTTAAGGTCTTTACAGTTTTGATGCTTAAGAATAAATATATTTAGGTTTCTTAATAGGGTGGTCAGAGTATCTCCTGAATTTTGTCTTTTTCACAGAGGTGGTGAAAGAGGTAGGAGCACTGGTAGCCCAGATTTAGTTCAGTAAAAATCTGTATTTGCAGCAAACAGTAACTGTCAGTGTTTGTACAGAATGCTGTATTCGTGACACTGAATTGTGAGCCCTGAAAGGAGAAATTTGCAAATTTACCTGCGGTTTGCAGGAGAAAAAAGGTTATGACTGCAAAATGCCTTGTCTGTCCTTAAGAGTAAGTTGCACAGGATGCTCGTCAGCACTGCCCCACTTCACACTGTGCCGTCCCTGCCTCCCAGTGCAAACCCTGCCTTACTGCAGTTTCAGCTAAAGAGGTTAAACTGGAGAAAACTCAGATACGGAGGTGTACGTTGTGATCACTGTGCAGAGGGGGTAGCACTGGTGGAAAAACTGTCATGCTTTAGGCTGAGGAACTCTTAAGAGCCTTTCAGTGTCTTTCAGCGTCAGATTTCCAGATTTAAACTGAAATGGGGTTGGGAAAGGGTCACAGTGAGGCAATAGCTGCGCTTTCAGAGTGGATGTGTGTTGCTTTGCTTTCATGAGCAAGTAACACAAACAAAGGAGAATGGTTGGGTGTAAGTGGTGTATAACACTGCCCAAGTGGAAGGTGTGTTGGCCAAGAAACATCAGGAGAGTGGTGATGGTATACGAGCACAATGCCCTAAGTAAATGTTTAAGCTTGTGTCACAGTCCTGGACGTGTGAGATGATACTTTCTATTTAATAGAAAGGCCTTGATTTGTTTTATTCCAAATCACCAAACTGTCAGATTGCTGGTTAGTAGTAACTCCGTGAATATAATGTTATATAGAACTAAAGGGGCGTATTAGTAGTTACAGTAGCTGGAGGTTCACCTGTAACTGTTTTTCATGGGATCGGAAAGAAAATGAGTTGGGCTTGGTATTGTCATAAACTCCTAATGTTAAACTAATAGAAGCTGAACATGGTATTTTATATTAGGCTGTTCAATAAATCAACTAAGAAACAGTGAAACCAAGGAAAAGCTCCTTCCCCCGCACCCCTTTTTATTTATTTTGAAGCTGTTTAATTGCTTTTCTATCAGCATTCCTGACTTCTGTGTATATGCAGTGTAGAGAGCTTGCTTCTGTGGAACTGAACTTCTGCTGCTTCAGAGCTCTTCCATCTTCTTCAGCAGAGCTCTTACGTTGATGGACTTGGGATCGAATGGAGCTGGCTGTATTCAAGTTTCCCAGCTTTTATTGGGGTCTCCCCAGTAATTTTCCTGCCACCCCCAACAACAATTTAGGATGTAAAGACAGAGGTAGGAGAAGCACTTGATGGCATGGCTGTGTAAGCTTTATGACCAAAAGCACAGAGGTTCAAAGCTTTGTGCAGACACTCCCGTATTTCACTAGCTATCTGGCTTAGTTATCTGTATGTGTTTTATCTTAGTTTTCCTCCTTTTATCCTTTTCCTGTTCCTCAACCCTTTCTCTCACATATGAGGTCTTCAACTTTAATTTATTTTCTCTGTAAGGAGAGCAGAAGCATATTTTTAATAGGAAAGTAGAAAATACTCCCAATTTTTTGTTTGTTTTTAAATTTACTTCTTGTTTGGAGGTACTTTTGCTCGTATAAGTTTAAAAAAAAAATACAGTCCTGTAATGCATGTGAGTTTTTGTATTCATGTCTGGGGAGGAAGGGAAATTACCTGCAAGTTCTCCTACTAATGCACTTACGGTGAAGATAGCATTAATAGCTCTGCCAAGTCTTTGTTTCATGGTGTGTATAGTTTAATTTTAGAGGGATTTGCTTATAGAGCAGGGGGAAAAACAAAAAACAAAAAAAAACACCTCTATGCTTAAGCTAGAAAACTAAAAACAACTAGGCAATTGAAACAACAGTATCTAGTTAAGCACACGTAGTTCACAAATTAAGAACTTGGCCTGGACATGTAAGTGAGAATTCTTCCAAAGGTATTAAATGTTGCAGCTGTTTTATTTAAATCATTTCTCTTTGATATTTTCAGGTAAATCTACAAGTAAGAGGCAGCACTCGCTCTTGTTGAACATCTTTCATAATCTTTTTCCAGAGAACTGTAAACAAATCTTATTGCTGACTAGCATCTTCGCTTGCATCCATGCTTTCCTTATCTTCATCTTCCATACCGTGTGTGTGTACACAGACAAACTTGGGATGTTTTTCTTCACCCCTTCTCTTGGATTATGTCCAGCATAGTTTCTTTAGAGGGGAGACTGTCACGGCATACCTTTGCACTTAAGTTTGTTTTGCCTTTATATTCAGATTTCACTTCAACAAGCTACTGGGTAAATTGGGCCTATATAATCTAGTTTGCCTGTTATAGCTGTCTAATTTAAAAACAAAACCAAAAAGTTAAGTATTAAGAGGAGAAAATAAGTGTGAATATAGTTGTATACATATAAAATATACTGGAAGTGACTCTTATGTGGTCTCTAAAATATCAGTAGCTAGATAGCTGTATAAAAACTTGTGTTGCTGCAGGTTCCTGTATATTTACACTGGCAAATCTTGTTTTAAATCTTGTTTTAGTTGACACTTCTTTACCAACTTACCCTTCTGGCAGAGACCATCCTGCAGTGTTACTGTAGGAGCAAACAGAGAAAAGAAGAGGAAAATGCCACAAGCTTTCCCCGTTTGTGGTCTGCTGAACTGTTCTGTTCTTACAGATAGCCCTGTTAATTTAAGAAAATTATTTTATCCCATGAACTCATTAGAAAACTCCTTACAGTGGAAGGGAACACTTGGATCTGGTCTATGTAAGTAGCTTTTCTTCTAATAATTTGGTGTAAGAATGTCATTTGTGTTATCTAAGGAACCAGTAAAAGTACTATACATATTGAAAATGCTGCTAATATTTTGTGTAAGAAAAAGATGCACGGGAGAGATGTGAAGTCCAAGTCCCTCACCTACGTCTTCCAATAAAATAGCTTGGTCAGTTTAGGCTGGAGGCATATGGACTGCTACAAGCTACTGTTACTGCTAACAATCTGATTTTCCCTCCAGAATTACTTAATAAACAGTTCTAAACCTCTCTGCACAGAGACAGTGGAAAAGGTAACCTACAAAAGGTAACAAATGGTTTGAGGGACTGATACAGTACTTGACAGGAGTTTGTTTTGAAATCGGCTGTTACTCCTTTGCAGGTGAAAGCTGTGTTTCAGATGACCAAAAGTCAGATGAGAAAATAACAAAGTGTGTGGTGGTGGTATTCTGTTGTGTTTGTTTTTTTTAAAGTAAATATCCGCATAATCTTCAGTCCCTCAAATCAGATGCAGTTGTCCTGTTTCTGTTTTGTGTCCAACTAAGGTATTATCCACACTTAACAATGAAGTGTAGAGCTGCACTGTAAATAAACATCTTGGCGATTAACAAATGTTTTATAAGCACTTTGTAGTTTGTACTCCTCATGTCAATACCCAAAAACGGGTGTTAAAAAAGTTCTCCATTCAGCTTTCAACACGTTTCTGTTTCCTTGAAGTACGGTAGACACCTTGGCATAACGTAGCAGCACATAATGGTTTGTGGGTTTTGAAAAGGTGCAGGCCATATTGTGCTGCCTCAAAAATACAAGGATTTCATCATCCCGAACAGAAATATAACTTAGGAATTAGTCAATCTTGTGATGCTGATGTCTGTCATACTCTAGCAGCACGTAAATATTGGTGTTAAGACTGTAAATATCTCCAGTATTAACTGTGCTGCTGAAGTAAGGCTAGCCACTTCTGCATGTGAGTCATGAGAGAGGATGTTTGACATATTTTTTCTGAAGCGTTGCTGTTTATATGTTGATTGTTTTTTCTTGGCTGTTGTTCATGTTTTCATCTGCTCAGTAACAGTATAGAGGATCTCGGAATATCTGAAGGTAAATGTAGGATAGGTGCATATTTAATCTTGAATGCTTTGCTTTACATGGAAGCTGCATATAATAAAGGAGTCAGCTCAACCTACACCTGTCTAGCAGTGCTTTGGTAAGTGTGTTTCTGTATATATTACTGTATAAACTATGGTACTTCAAATGTCAATGTATCTTTATTAAAACTCAAAGCTTTGTTAACCTTTAGCCTTCTCTTAGTGGATGGAAACTGGGAAATGTTTTGTCACATTTTCAGCAAAGCGAGCACACAAAGCAGAAGTGCCTTCCAGAATTATTAACAGAACTTAGATCTTTATTTCATGTCTTAAATCAGACATTCTCTTCTAAATTTACTTCTTAAACTACAGACAGGTAACAATTTTAGGGTTAGAAGTTTAAGCTGCATAACTGGCTGTGAATTTACTGATTCTTTTCTCGTCTTCCACTACCATGTTTCTTTTGTAGGGGAATCTCAATGAATTGAGATGATTGATATTGCTGCAGTGAGAATGGAAATTACTTGGGTTCCTTTCCTTTTAAAAGCTGCACGCAAGAACTGTGTGGTGAGTCAAACGTAGACTAATGGTTATGTAAATGTCACTAATTTTAGATACAGTCAAGATCTGAAAGTGTGTTTCCTTTTAAGATTTTATTTTCTTCGCTATCATGACTCAGTATCACTTGCAAATCTTATTTTATTAGCCCTGTTATATTTTAGCATTGAAATACACATGCCTTCTGGAAATAAATGTCTTACAACTTTAAGTTTATCCATCATATAGATGTTTTAAATGGATTAACTGCACTGGGGATTTGTTTTGACTTCAGGCTTCAGAGGCCTGCTGCTGGTGCTGTGGCACAGGTACAGACATGATGTAGATGAACATGAATCCAAGTTATAATTCATAAATCTGTGTTATTTTACCATACAGAATTTCAGTCTGATATATGTACTGGTTGAAAATCAGTTGTTTTTTTTCCTGCATTTGCTATAGATTTGAAATGGTAAAATTACTGTTGACTGAAATACCATAATTAATTCAGACCTGAGCATTTCTCTATAGTAAAGCAATCCAGCATTACATAGCCCATAGCTTTTCGTAAAATGTTTCTGCATGCCCATTTACCTGCTATAGGTCTCAAGATATGTAGACAAAATGAGGCCAACTACTCAGAATTTCTGCCATCTAGCTTGAAGTTTAGTAGCTTCATCACTGAAGCTTCTTTAAGTAGCACTGTATTTGCTTATCTCTAACTGCACTGTTAAAGACCTGCACATACATTTCAGCATCTGTAAATTCAGAAACCCTTGGAAAAGCTATACTCTGGGTTATAAAACACAAAGATTATTGTTCCAGTATTCCCCTCCCTTTAAAGGTTGCTGATTCTGTTAGCGTGCTGCTTGCAGAGGGCCATCCATCCTGTTGCTCCTGTGGATCCAGTATTTTAATGTACCTGAGCTTTCTCTCTGGGACTTCTGGGAGTAGATGCAAATCTAAAAAGGCAATCAGAAAGATCTGGGAGCATGCAACAAGTAAGTCTATTTGCATGGGATTGTCGTGTGAATGGTGAAATAAACTGCTTCCTTCTGGTTCACCATGCAAACCCCTGTACTGGCACAAGGCAACGGATGGAAGAGTGAAGCAGCAGCAATGAGAGTTTGGCAGACTGCAACTCTCCTGCATTCTGCAGCTCTGGGGTCCTATGGATCTGTCTGATTTAAGAAAAGAAGGCTCACTGTCTTCAGTTCAAGTGCTTATTTCTGTGCTAGGCTTAGAAACTAGGGTGAAAAGATGCTTAACTCATATAAGGGATATAAGAGATAGGCCTGCTTGAAATTAAACTGTAACTAGTTGCTGTGTGAGTGTAGATAACTGGGGAGAGGAGCGTGTCTGAAAATGCAGTGTTGAAAGACTGGAGCTGGGAGCTCTTAGGGGAGAGGAGATATCTGATAAGTGGAAAACTGGGAGGACAAATACAGGTTGGGCGAAGATCTAAGGGGTTTGCTTTGTGAAGGTGGAAGAAGCAGCAGCCTGACAGACGGGGTCCTGCCTGATCCTGCAAAGAAAGTGTAAGTCAGTCTTGGGGAAAGGGGCTTGCACCTCAGATTGTTCCTAATGTTTACTAGAATGCTTAGCACTTAAGTCTGCACAGCCTTCTGACTTTAGCAGCTTTTGCTGTGAAATCACTGTCGACTTCATTTCCCTCTCATCCTGTCGCATGCAAAAGAGGGCAACTTTATTACTGCTCTTGGCTACTTTGCAAACTTTGGTCCTGAGCAACAACCCCAAAAGTCAGAGAGTAGCTGAGGTTAGAAGGGGTCTCTGGAGATCATCTAGTCTAAGCAGGGTCAGGTAGAGCAGGTTTCTCAGGGCTGTATCCAGTCAGATTTTTAGTATCTTCAAGGACGGAGAACTTACAACCTGTCCTGTTCAGATTAATTTCCTGCTATTTGCTTTGTGCCTGTTGCCTCCTGTCCTGTCACTGGCCACCACCACTTAAAGCCTGATTCTTCTGCTCTCCTTCACCCCATCTTCAGGCACTTCTAAGCTTTGATAACCACCCCACACACACACAAACCCTGAGCCTTTTCTTCTATAGGCTGAAGAGTCTCAGCTTTCACCACCTCATCTAAAAGATGCTTTAGTTGTTTGACTATCTTCGTAGCCCTTTGTGGAAGTAAATAAAATGTTTCAACTAATAGGGGAAACGGAATTCAAAGGAGGAAATGCTTTTGAGAAGGAAAGAAACCCACTGATAAATTAACTGTTAAAAACTAAAAAGAATATGCAGATTGCAAAATGAAACGCTGAGGATTTATGTAATTCCTGATTTAAGATTCTGCAATCTTAATTTGCCCCCTTGTGTTAGTCTACTGTGAAGCAGTCTTCATGATCGTAGGGAATATCCAGTCCTAATGGGAGGACTGGCCTGGTATGGTGCTGGGTCAGGTAAGGTGTTTGGAGGCTGTGCAAGAAGCTCGACACTGCTACAGGTGCTGCAGAAACAGGCTGAAAATTCTGTGGAGAATGGACCAAAGTCTGCAAGTAGAGGAAAACACGTCTTCATGGTTACATCAAATGAGAAATCTGAGGAATTGGATGTGACGTTTATTTTTCTGCTTTCATTTCTGTGTGATGCTAACCAAGTTACTAGGACACTGATTTCATAGTACTTGCCTTCCTCACTTCAGAGGTAGCTTTAAGAGGCTTTAAGATCCTCATGTCTGATGGAGACGCTGGCTTTCCATATTGCAGCTGAGCTGCTTCAGTGTTGTAACTTGAATTAAAATGTTATGTGATGTCATGTATGCTTGCAGTCTCCTAAATATCTTATATGGGATACCTCAAACTGCTGGGTGCTACTATAGTTTCTGTATCTCCACGTCACATTTAAAATGGAGATGATAGGCACTGAAAGACTGGTTTTGTGTGTGTTTTATTATTGTTACGAAGTTTCGTTTAGTGGCTGTGCTACAGTGATGCATTTCCTCATCGAATTTTCTGTGGCATTTATTAATCTTGGTCTGAAGAGGTGAGTATTGTGCATATCCTTACCAGTTCAAGGTAAGAAACAGGATTTCCATGTTGCTGGTTCATAGTCTATTTGTCCCTTCCTGTGTACTTTAAAGTATTCTGATCTGTGTCCTATCTTGTCACTGATTCATTTCGCTTGTATAGGTATAACTGAACATTTCGTCATCCCATTTTTGGAATATAATTTCGCAAATAATGTCATCAGTATTCTGCAAGATCCCTTATATATTGAGGGTAATGTTTGTGTCTGAATTCTGGTATGTTATACATGTACAATAAATTTACCTGTAAAGATATGTATTAAAGAATGAACTAGTTAAATTGTAACACTTAAGTTCTTAGGCACAACAGTATTAAAATGCACTTCATTAAAAATGCCAAGTCATGTATTCAGGACTTCTACAGACTGCTCTTCAAATTTCAAACACTATTTTCTTGGTACCGCAGTCTTGAGTGGATGAGAAGGGTTCTGTGTTTAATATTCAGATATAGAGAACTGAAAATCTGTGTTTTTCCGTAATACTCAACAAGATACCGTGGTTTGGGGAAGTCTCTCCCGGTCGAGTAGCAGCAGTAGCAATAATCAGTGAAATGTTTAGACTCCCTTCATGTTCCTTGTTACCACCTCCTATCGTAAAAGTCACAAGATTTATAGCAATAAATCTGAAGTGGTGTGCTACTATTTTACCACAGTTTAACTCAAAGCAGCAATTCTTTAAAACAAATGAACAAACAAAGTTTGAAACTTACTTGGAGAAAAAAAATCAATGTCTGGAATATGTTACTATCTGAGTTTCTGAGCTGACAGTTTTAAGTGTATATCAGAAAACATTTACCTATAGTTAGAAATGAGAAAAAATGATGGAAAAAATGCAGTGGCATGAGTGATGTTGCTCATTTCTTTCTGTGAAGGACTTAGTATCACTTGGTCAGTACTTGCTTCACTCTAAACAGTTTATTTCTGTAGGAAGTTATTAAGTATCTCTTAGGTACAGCTCTATTTTTCCAAATTTGACTTGCTTGTAATAGTCCCATGTTAATAAACCAAATGAAACTTATCTATTATTGCTTCAGTTTCTTCATATAAAATTTGATCCCTGTATTCAAGATTTCTGAAGTTAAGATTTGAGTATAGTAGCATGTATCCAGTGCTGACTGGGTAAATGCTGACTGACTTATCTCAGAAGAAGAGACAGGAATAATACAGCCATAATGTCTTTTCTCTGCTGTTTTTACCTGTAGATGGATCAGGCAAAAAAGAAGCTTCAGGAATTACGTTATTGGACCAGCTAGAGTAGTCAGCAGTCAATAATGTGACACTAGTTTTGTGATTCTGAAGCAAAACCAGTTCAGGGCTGCCAGTCTTCCTGTTGCCCTCAGTATTAGCCTGGCTCTGATGTTTTCATGGTGGTTTCACTGAGTAACTTTGGGTTAGAGTTTGGTAAGCTCAGCCAGCTGAATGTGTCGCCTCTGTGAGCAGTGGTGCTGGCACCAAGGAGAAGTTCCCCCTGCTCCCTTAAGAACAACAGCCTGGAGAAGTTCAAGTTTATTGCTCAAACCAATGTAAGAAATACTCAGCCATAATCTGTTCTTGACAGACTTTGCCTGTCTGCTCTTCAAGTACTTCAAAGGAGCTTGCAGAAAATCTGGTCTGGGTCTTCTAGGTGCAATATAAGAGAAATATAAATAGATGCAGCGTAAAAATTAAAAGAATAACTGCTTTCATGGTTAAGGAAAAGGACAGGAGCTGGGGAAAAAGAATTAAGTTTGTCTCTTGTCCTCTTAGATGTTAGCATGAGTGTCCATGTTCACTGTGTACTTTAATAACTGGGAGGAGACTGTTTGAACAAAGAAGACAAATATGATCTACTGGAAAAGTAATGAACCTTCAGAATTAATTTTGTTCCCTCCTGCTCTGTCTTGAGTAACACAAGTTTGTTCCTGAAAGAAACCCTGCTATACAGGCCAAGGAGAGCTTTTCAAGGATTTTTTTCTTTTCTAGGCATATCAACACTGAATACAGAACTTCTTAACAGCCATGAAGTTCCACGATCTTAGTTCCATAACAGAAATGCCAGAAGTAGATCAAGTGAAATGGCCATAGGAGTCTTTGAGTCATCTTAAATTATGCATCAGGTGCCATCTCTGTTAAAGCGTTGAGAAAGGAAGTTCCCAAAGAAATTCAGAAAAGTAGAATCACATTCTTGTTTTGAGGAAGTTACATCCAAGTGTGGTATTTCAGTACCTTTGACATGGTTTCAGGGAAAAGAACATCTCTATCTCTGCCAAATACCACTTTTATTTTCCTGTACTTCAGTTAATTCAGAAACATGGGATCTGAACATTCCTGGCTTACTACCTGAAGCTGTACCTGTTGACTTCAATACTCTGCTACAAAATGGTTTCTGATTTACTAGAATCATAGAATATCCTGAGTTGGAAGGGACCCACAAGGATCATCAAGTCCAACTCCTGGCTAGCTAATGAGCCATGAATATTTCTTCCTCTTCCATATCTAAATTTAACTTGTAGAAATAAAAAATACACATCTCAGTCTGAATTCTAAAGCAATTGTTTGTTATCACAGAGCATAATTTTGTTTTACACTGAGCAGTTTCTTTTGCATGTACATCACTACAAGGATGTTTTTATACATGGATACAGACCATATAGTAAAAATTGCCCAGTGTAGTGATCTACATCTGTTAGCACACATTGCTATTACTTATCACAGTACAAGCAGTGCAGAAAATGACTGCAGCTATAAAAGGATAATGAAATATTTGCTCTTTGTGTACTTCTGCTTGTTGACTTAGTGTCCTTAGTCTTCTAGGAAGTATTTGCAAGTCTGTTCACTGCAGAGTAGCTCTTTCCTAGATTTACTTGTAGGTTCACCTGGGAGTGAGGAGTAGGATATTTGGGGGGTGGGGGCAGGTCCCAGAAGCAATGTCAGTGGGGCTAACAACATCTTTTTCTACTTGTTTCCTTCAACAGAAGACTGGTATCTACACTCTACACACAAAAGCTAACACAAAAGTGCTCATGTAGACTTTGCTTCTTACTTTATAGTACTTTATAGAAATGGCTGCGATACTTTTTCATATTATCGATGTGAAAGTCTCCCACTTTCCCCATAAACTATGTGTTGTTTTCAGACATATCAGTAAAAAAAGCTAACATATCTATGTATATATGCATGTATAATGAAACTTCAGACATAAAAGCAAGAAATTTCCAGTAGTGTCATCCAAAGATGGAAAAGGGCTACAGTTTGGGATTTATACAATCTATTACAACTAGTTGTCACAGGTCATTTAGAAAGTGGGCTTGCCTGAGTGGTAGGTTGTACAGTCAGAAAAAGGATTTTGTGGAAGATTTAACAACATCGTGTAGCCAGACAGCCCCCTGTTGGCTGTATTGTTCTGTTGTAAAGGCTCCAGAAATGAATTGTGCTCAAATTCAACTATTCACTGCACTGAAACTATTTTTTGAATCCCATATCTTAGATAGTAAAAAATGGAAAGGGGAATAAAAGTGTGTATAAAAAAAAAAACAAAAAAAACCAACTCTGAATTGAGTTTTATCCCTTTTCTGAATAAGATCAATGCCAAAGCTTGGTTATAGAGAGTATCAAGAGTATCCGTGTTCAGTTTCTGAATGTTTTTGTAGAAACCTATTTTTAGAGAGCTGCAGTGAAAATTTAGACTGGTACTTTGTCCTTGTCATTAAAACTTAAGGCTAGCATACTTTATCACATTTACAGCCTGTCTAATGCAAAGCCTTTAGATCAACTTCTGTCAAGAATGCAGGTAATGGTTTGCAAACTTAAGTTTTTAAAACTTATCAGTGAACTAATAAGATAGAGGCTTCAGCCTTATTTAATGACTGTGACTCTTCTAGGTCTGTCTATGAAAGTTTCTGCAGTTTAACCAGGTACAGTTTTACCAGGAGGCTTGTGTTTTAGTTATTCGTGCTTGCTTTACTTTAGTCTCTTCTTTTGTATGTGGCTGAAGTTGCTACCTGTGCAACTAGCTGCTTGCTTCCAGTTTGTGTTTTCCTGTGCCACAACACCAAAAGCCTTGTTCTTCGAAAGAAATAAGTGCCTAAAATATGGGAAAGCTGAAGGACGTGTAGTACTAGGTATTAACTGTCCGTGAAGGAAACCTAAAACCTGCCTTGTAATGTCACTGTACATCCCTGTGACAATAGCTACTGTATGTCTGTAAGCAAACAGTTGTTGTCTGGAATTTAATGGTGTATCCATGCTTAAAAGGTCTAGTTTAGGTAGAAGTGGGTGACCTGAGGAAGTTTCCCAGGACAATAGGTGACCCAAGGAAAGTTTCCAGGAACAACTGTTTCAAAGACAGGATCTTCTGCCCCAAGTTAGACAACACAGAGATGACTCCTTTCTGTATCAGATGTGGCCAATGTTATAAAAACTTATCTTCACTTGAAGAATTGGATTTGTGGCTAAAAATTATTTATTTGTGGCTAAAAATCCATACCTGTAACAGTAGTGGAGAGTCTGATGTGAGAGTTAGTCTTCAGCAGCATAGGACAGAAGACTAACATGATGCTGAGAAAGCCAAAGTGTTCAAAGACTCTGTTTCTTTACTCTTTGGTACACACTAAAAGATTAATTGTAATCAGATAAAACAGTTGACAGAAACAACAGAGGGTAGTAATACGTGCTGTGATTGAAGAGGAGGAATTGGAAAGACAGACAGGCCAAAGGTTACAAAGTCCAGCGAGCTGCTTTAAAAGTTGGCGTGACCTGCTAAAAAAGAGTCTAAGAAATTGGTTGAAGTGGTTTCAAGGCCAAGGGACTCGACAGAGAAATGGAGAACCTGGGTTTGGGGTTCTTCACGAGCCTGGGGGGAGACTCGTGTTCATGTCTTTAGCTTCTGAAAAAGTGCTCGGGGGAAGTTGTCCACAGATGTTCCCCATCTTCCTTGTTAAATCGATGAGATGTACAAAAAAGCATAGAAGTCACAAAACAGTTTTGTTCAAAGGTTGTTGGCAGTGATAACTATTACTGTTACCAGATGAAAGCAAGCTGCAGGTAGGATTTCAAAGGGTGGGTGAATTTGCTTTTATTGGACTAACTGTGCAGCTCTTTGCAAGTTCCATATTCTCTTCCTAAGATGTTTCCTGAAGTAATAGTAAAAAGAGCATCCAATAAATTATAGTCCCCATTAAACCCTGTTAAAGGAGTACCTTATGTTTCCAGAAGATGAACACTGAGATAGCCAAGTATTTATGAATCGGATCACAGACATCTGTTATGCCAAAGTTTTTTACATTGCTGAAGAGAGCACGGGTAAAGATGTCCTTAAATTGTTTTATGCTCTTGGTTTCTCTACAGCAGCTCAAGAGGGGAAGTAACAGAGGTAAAGAGCTTCACCAGTTTGACTTCAGTGACCAGCAACGATTCACCTCTTCACTCTACCATCGTTATTTTTTTTTTTTTTTTAATTTCTGACAGCCTCCCTCCCAAACTAGGGATCGACAGGAGCCTGTTCTGGGTGAAAGAAGATTTAAAAGCGTATCCTGGTCAGAAAAATTACAGCCTTTTATTCCTCCTCCGAGGTGTGGTTGGTTACTTAATTTCCAAATGATGATTAAACTTGAAGAATCCCCCAAGGCTCTTGGAGCATCTGTGTAACTTGTATTTCTTTCAAGCAATTCTAGTAGCTTAAAACGTACAGTGTATTTGGCAGAGCTGTGGTAGTGTGATCCCATTGTTTTATGCTTCTTCAGAAATAAAGTCAGTCGTTTTTGAAAGGCGCTGCCTTCATCTGTGAAAGCATTTGTCAGTCAGGTTCCTCTAAAGCTGCACCTCTTTCTCGAAGTTTTTAGGTATGAGCAGATAGCCAGTCCAGAGCAGTGGGTATTTTTAGAGGTAACTGACATTATCTGTATCTCTACTTTTTACATTGATTTCAGAGTTCTTGCAAGAACAGCATCTGTTCCTGGTGATTTATAGTGGCTGAGTTTTTCAAGCTGCCAATAGACTCTTCCTTTGAGACTTCCAGGCCTAGTGAAGCTACTCTCATTTCCACATAAAGCGTGCCCTTGGGACAGGGATTTCTTCATCACCCTCTATATTAAAAACAAATCCTGTATTTTATTTATATTTGCTGTTCCTTTCTTCATCCTCTACAGGTACAGGAGCGTGTTCTTCTGCAGTACACGTGGAAGCAACAGCTCTGCGGAAGAGCAGTGTTTGTTCCTCCATCCCATAGTCCTCCAGACTGCCAGTGACTATCAGTACAGCTTTTCATTAGCCTGTGGTATATCAGGTAGACATCTGTTATTCACTAATTTATAGCTAATTGGCATTTAGCTGCTAAGATTGGTTTTAGTTTTGGAAATTTTAGCATTTCTGTTTTTCTATTGGAGGAACTGTTTTAGTCCAGGAGGAATTTTGTATCAGCACATACCCCATGAATGAGCACACGCAGAAAGTTCCTGTGTAATGTGGTGTTAGGACCATCCATGTAAGATACCATTTACTTGGTTTGATGAGCATTACCTGAATCTTCTAAGAAGGCTGAGCAAGCAAAACCTCTTGCCTCAAAGTGTCACAAGTGATAGAGGCACCTTGTCTCTGGTTCTAGTTTGCTTGAGCGGAAACACTGAGAAAGACCAGAAGAATCTTTTGCTTCTTCCACTTCTTGATGTAGGCTGTCAGTGTGTCTCCTAACACAGCTAGACCTTGAATAGAGGGTGACAAGGAGCAGAATATTTGCAAAGCAGATCCTCACTTTCTCATTGTACATAGCTCAAACCTGGGAACACCGGGCTGCGTTATGCTGCAGACTTGGAACTACCTTGGGTATTTCATAGCACGTGCTCTGCAGTTCCTGGATCCTTTACCAGTTGTGTTGCTGAAGCAGAAATCACCAGTGGCAGTGATACTGGAATTAATTCTGATGAAGTTGAGTCACCTTTGGATCCTTCAGTTGAAAGCTGATGGAGCAATCCAGCAGTCCATTATCAAATCAGGCTCAGAATTGGCCCTTATGACCCTCTGTGGATGTCCAGCCTTCAGCATTGACTGAACCATTCTCTGCTCTGCTGGTACTGAGATAATTTCCTGTAAGTCTCCAATACCGTGCAGGACTAATTCTATAGAAAATATTTCTGTGCTCTGTCAGAATTAGAAGAGAAGAGAGGGATCCTTCTGTAAGGTTCTCTTTAGATGGACATCCCACACTAGGTAGAGGCATCAGATGTGGTTCATTCACAGTAGGGTTGCTTATAGAGAAACAGAGACTTTCACTGCATTTTTCAGCACCTCTCTATGCTCATGAGCAGTTATTAAATGGCAAGGATCCTTGAGGTACCATCTAGACATTTAGATGAGGCCCTGGGCAACCCGATCTAGTGAGTGGCATCCCTGTCTGTGGCAAGGGGGTTGGAACTAGATCATCTTTGAGGTCGCTTCCAACCTAAGTCATTCTATGATATTTAACTTCAGCTTTCAAAGACTGCCTGTTGTTGATGTGTCGTGCTAAGTGCTGTCAGACCAGAATATGGTCTTGGGACAGCCTTCACTGGAAGGAAGGCAGTCCAATAACAGCAAAAATTGATGGGGTGGAGGAAGAGTAACTTTTCTAACTTCTGTATCTGCTGCAGAAAGAGCTACCCTTCTGTAAGTGAGGGTACCCAACTACCCAAGTATGCGAGCCCAACAGGGTATTGTTAATGAATAGGTGTAATCAATAATTTAAAGTGGTGCTAAGAATTGCCACAGGCACCTAGGGAGGCATTTAGATCTGGTGCAGTCAAGACCGTTTATAGCAATCGCTTTTCCAGAGACAGACCTCTTTATAAAGACAACTTCTTTATGGGCTTTTTGAATTACAAGCAGCTATTAAGTGTTTTGTGATCTGTTTAGTATAGACAAGGTCCTGCACACTATTCATAGGGCCCTGGGAGTAAATACCAGTTCCCAAGAACAGGCATCGCAGCACAGGCTTTTCAACTGCCCAGACCTACATGCCTTCCAGCAAAGCTACACAAAATCTCAAGAGAAAAAAGAAAAACCTCTTCCTCGTGTTTAGTGGTTCACCTGCTTCTTTCATCAACACGGCAGAGCATCTGACTCTTTGATCTGGAAGTTTTCAAGTTCTGCCTTCTTCCTTTCAACCACTGAAGTGGTTTTGTAACAGGTTAGTGCCAGGCATCAGAGAGACAGGCTTGCACAGTCTATTTTAGTTACTCATTGACTCCATTCTCTTCCAGGGCATTTTAATATAGATAATTAGTAACGTCCCTTTTCCTATGGAAGAGAAGAGAAATCCTACTTCATCTTTTAAAGAGGGAGGGGAAAACTGTTGAGTTAATGACTCAGTTCCAATACAGCATCCACTTTGGCCTGTCCTGGATCTCAAGAGATGCAAATATGTACATCTGAAAGATCAGACAATAATATTTTCAGCTAGTAGTTTTTCAACACCAAGTAAAACGCCTTGCTTTGAGTTTTCAAAACACTTATTTCCATGCTACCACACAGCTTGAAGGAGCTACGTGAGAGTTATAGCCTCCTGTGTAAGACCAGTTCAGTGAGAGCGCGTCAGGCTTTCAATAGCTAAGCACAAGAGTGCTGTGGCACAGCATACAGGACGTGCTGTACCCAATGGAGGAGTCATACAAAAGTCGCACAAGTGTCCCTCTACCTGGAATTGCATTTTCTAGAAAAGGTTCTGCAGGAAAGTCTCTGAAATGGAAGCTGAGTCTAGCGAAAAGTTGATCGTTTGTCCATCCTTTTCCACGTGTATCTGTACAGGTGTCAGGACTCCATATGAAGAGCACTTAGCTCTGGATTGCGGTATCATATTTCAGAAAGCTCTTACTGAATGGTGACAGGCAACAGTTTGCAGGTTCTGCTTTACTGATCTGAAGATTCCCCATTTAGGAGTTTGCTGACAGGGTTACTGCTTTCCATACTGCACGTGGAATTGAAGTAAAGGCCTCCGAGAGGAGGTGTCCAGTCCAGTGGAGGCTTACTGTGCTGGTGCTGCCAAGGCAGAGGTGGTAGCTTCAGCACTTGTCTATGCAGCCACCAAAAGCTCAGCTTCTGCTTCCAGGCATGAGATATCAAGATGATTAACCCACCTACTGTTTGGATCCTGCAATGGTTCACCTCCTAGTGCAGGTACAGAACTGACCCGAGAGAGAAATGTTGTTTGGATATGCAAAATTTGTCAGATGTTCTACAGATCTACCTACCTAGAAAAAATGTTCCTGAAGTCTCATTAATGTCTAACTCTCCCACCCAAGTCATTCTGTGCCTCTTCCAAGTTCCTGTAGCAGCTGTCACCTGCCCATTCATTCACCCCATCAGATCTTTTACTTTTCTCTATCTGATGTTGCTAAAATTTGAGCTGTTAACTGTCCTCCCTTGGATTCAGCAATTTGTGTCTGGTTCCCCAAAGGCACTGACGCTCTCCAGCCATGTGTTATCCCTTTACTCCTATCAAAGGGGAAATTATTTGGGTTTGCTCTCTTCTGTGGGTCTCAGCCCTCCTCTAGAGCATGACCTGTTCCTCTGTTGTACCAGTGGCCAGGCCAAGGAGCAAGCTGAAGACATTGCAAAAAGATGCAAAGATTAAAGATGGAAGGTTCAACATGTGTCGCGTACTGTTTGCTGTTGGATGCAGCGTTGTAAACGAAATGCTTTGTCTGTATTTACTTTTATTCCCCAGTTTAGTTATCACTGGGGGGGGGGGAAACATAGACCAGTCTTTTCAGAAGGCCCTCAATGAAAGCTGCAAAACTGCCATTGAAACTTAAAGAAAACTGAGTTCCCAGACTCGATGTTTCCAATCTCTTGCCTTTTTTTCCTGTGTAGCATCAGGCTGGAACGATGTTGCAATGTTTAATTCTGAACAGTTTCAGCAAGCCCTCAGCTGACTGTTGTAGCAGGAACTTGCTTAGAAAGCAAAGCACCAACTTCATTCTCCAAAGCAGATTTGTACACATTACAGTTTCCAGCCTGTAGGGCGACATTCATCATCCTGCTGACCAGAAAGAAGCCACCAATTAACTGAACCATCGCGTCGGAGGGGAAATGGAGTAGAAACGGGGTAAGAACTCTTGGAGAAATTTACACGTCAGATCACACTTGCAGATAAAACTTCAGGGGGTGGTTTCAGCAGAAACTGTGCTATGGTCTAGAAGGCTGCCATTCCCCCTTTTTGCAAATGGCAGGCAGATTTATTTGTGTTTTATGCGATGACTGGTGATTTACATCCCACCCACCCATCTGAGAGCATTCTGGGCTCCAGGCATATCTCCAGCCAGTTCCAGGCTATTCAAAGGGTTGTTGGTCCGTCCATTTACTCGTCACAACCAGGCCTTCTGTGACTAATTACGGCCTGACTGCAGCAGGAGATGGCAGCTTCAAAGAGTGGGAATCTTCAGCCGCGCTAGCAGTTCCCTCGCTTCTCAATTCTTTATTTATGTGGATTACATTGAGTTGACAGATTTAACTGGGCTGTTGAAGATACGGTCAAAGAAGCAGAGTCCCTCCCTTCCCTTTTATTGTTTTCTGAAGACATAACAGTCATATGCATCTGTCACTAGAGAGAGGAAGTTCTCCATCACTGGGCTTGATTTGGGCTTTTATATGCTGTTTCAGTAGCATCTGGGAATAGATCAATATAATATTTGGTAGGGAGTTGTATTTCCTCGTGATGCACTGTAAATCTTTTATTGTAGATACTCCCACTGTTTATTGTTGAAAATCAATAAAAATAAACCTTGTAAAGTTAAAGCCTGGCAAGGGTTCAGCACAAATCACAGGGAAGGAGCGAGAGGCAATGAGCCTCCCTCCCCCTCTTGGCTAGTTCCCAGCTTGTTTCCCAATGAATATTCAATAACACTTTCCAGCAATCTGGGAACAAACTTATTTCTCTTGAATTATTCAAAGTTACGAACGCTCTGTTGTGGTCTCAAACAGGACTTCTAACCCGCTTTGGCTGCTTTCTGGCACTGAATTCAGCTGTGGATCAAAACCCAGTATCACCCAGATCCTGTGTTGGATATACGTTAGCCTTATCCCTTCCAGAGACGGACGAAAGCACGTCGGCCTCGTTCCGCTCAGGTTAACCGGGTAATTTGTGAGCATTACCACTGGATATTAGCCAAAATAGGTTAAAAAGAGGGAGCAGCCTGCTGTGGAGAGAAGCTCCCCAAAAGTCAGAAGAGAATTTACAACCCCTGTTTGCACGCAAGGTGGGATGCAATTACTCTGGCATCGTACTTTGCTCTGTGGCTTCTAATTCCTCACATACTGCATCTTATGGTGGAGTCTTCAAGTCATGAGGTTCAACTACACAGGGAAATGAGAAATGTTTGGGAATTATTTAGTGAAGGAGAACGCAGCACCAAGGCCAAGCTAAAAGGTTGTTCTTTTTTAAGTCTTAGCACAGTATCAATCACAATAGGTTTATTTAGACATCGAATATTAATTGATTATACTGTGTTATGAGCAGTGACAGCAAAATATGTAAGAACGTAGTGACTATACTTCCTGAAAGAGTGAAACCCCTCAGGAATTACCGTGTTGAAATCAATACCCAAAGAATCTTTGCAGAACAGGGGGAGCAACGCAACAAAAAGAAGAGGAAGGTGTTTCTTGTCGGACTCTCCCCTTCCCAGTACCAGCAGATCCATGAACGTTTCGGGTGGCAAACAAAGGACACATCCCCAGAAGAGACACTGAGAACAAGAGGGAATTTTCCAACATTGAATAAAGAAATACAGGATGAAATCCAACTATAAAGGAGGGAAAAATGATTAAAATAAAGAAAATACAATACAGTTCCAGGTTGTTCCAAACAGTCTTAAGTTGCGTCAACGGTCTCAAGTCTTTCCAGGGATGTTCAGATTGGACATGAGGAAGGATTTCTTCTGTCACATAAAATCTAAGTATTTGAAGGACTCAGTGGCTGCATTATCTTACCTCTTAGTTCCTTTCCCTCTAGCCCCCTTACTGCTGTGGGAATCCACTGGTGTGTTATAACAGAGGAGAGCTCACTGCGCCCTGCACATCCAGAAAGGAGCTGGAGGACCGACTGGCTCGTGGTGCCCCAGTGATACGGCAGGCAACTCCCAGCATCTCCTGCCCTGGAGCAATTTGCAAAGTTTTGCAGAATCCGAGGAATAATAAAAAGGCAAATACAGAACGGAGTTTACTGTAATCAGTAAATTTTGTACCCTCCCGGGAAGGAATTCTCTTGAGCAAGTGGGCAATGACTTGAAGTGAATCAAGCCAACCATTACAAATTCCAACTTTGTTGGAAAAAATGTCTAAATGTTTCAAAATGACAACTGCCATTTGGTTGTAGCTCTGCCATTGCTGCTTCCACTTTCTATGCGAAGAAGTCCAGGCAGGTGCTTTCCTTCAAGGACCCAGCTCACCACCAAACCATCTCCAATTAAATTTATCCCGCGGGTATCCTGCAGGACAACACGCACTCGGGCACTTCCACCAAGTTTCTGTTGGGTTATTGACTCACACTCACGTGCTCTCAAACTTACCAAGGTACCATTTTTTATTTTTTTTAAAAAAGAGCACAAGTGACAGAGGTGATACTTCTCAGCTCATTTCTAGGAATCAAGGATAGAACAACGTGGGAATCCAAACTTACTGGCTCTCACGAGCATTACATCAAAAATGCGCCCAGTCCCACTGTATGTGCTCACACCAGGTCAAGGTAACGTATGCATGGTTCCTTATGGGACGGGAACTTTCACTGGTGTGTTTTTCCACTGCCAGAATATTAGGGTGAAAGAATGGTGTTTGTGCTGAATAAAAATTAACCCACTGTAAGCTGTGTCACCGAAATGACCGAGCCCAGAGGGTGGTGATGGGTCTCATTGGGTCAGTACTGGGTCCAGCCCTGTTTAACAGCTGATGGTGATGGTGGGGCCAAGTGTGCCCTCGGTATGTTTGCATGTGACACAAAACAGGGCAGTGGCAGATTCACCAAAGGGCTGTGCTGCCCTGAGGGACATTGACAGGCTGGAGAAACGGGCTGACAGGAACCTGCTGAAGGCCAACACGGAGAAGTGCCGAGCCCTGCACTAATGAGCCCCTGCTGCTAAGGAGGCTGATGGTGTCCTGGGCTGCGTTTGGCAAAGCATCACAAGGAGGTCAAGAGAGGTGATGCTTCCCCACTGCTCAGTGTTGGGGAGAGTCCATGTAGGGCCACACAGGGGAGGAAGGGCCTGGAGCACCTCTCCTGTGAGCAGAGGCCGGGAGAGCTGGGACTGCTCAGCCTGGAGAAGAGGAGGCTCAGGGGGATCTCCCCCAGGGCTGGGAATCCCCGCAGGGAGGGGGCAAAGAGGCCGCAGCCAGGCTCTGTTCAGGGGTGCCCAGCGCCAGGCCAGGGGCAGTGGGCACCAAGGGGCAGGCAGGAGGCTCCCTCTGAGCACCAGGCAGCACTTCTGTGCTGGGCGGGCGGCTGAGCACTGGCCCAGGCTGCCCAGAGAGGCTGGGGGGGCTCCTCCTGGCAGAGCGGCACAAGGCGCCTGCACGGGGCCCTGGGCACCCTGCGCTGGGGGCCTGCTGGAGCAGGGCTTGGGGACAGAGCCTACAGAGCTCCCTGACAGCCTCAGCCCTGCTGTGGTGCTGTGAAATGCTTGTATTAAGTATTCATTTAGGCAGAACCGTGGAGCATGAGTAATGGCATAGGTTAAAGTTTTTTATTAATCCAAATGTAAATATTTCCAATTTTGTTTCACTTCAATTTAAAGGAGTCCAAACCCAGTTTGTGAAACGGCTGCTACAGCAGTGAAAATAAACTCTCCACTTCTACAGTAGGTGCAAGAGCCTAACTTTGTTACTACAAAGAGTTCTAAAACAGTTCTCATATGGATTACACTGTTGCTGTCAGCCATCATTTGTATCAGGATGGTTACAGTTTCAAGTCCATTATTTTCCTCTTTGCCATAAAAAGTTGTCACTTCTGTCTTCTTGCTATTATTGGTAAGCCTCCTCACTAATACTCACAGTTATGGACTCATTCACTACTCACAATTATTGGTTTTGGTTCTATTTCAATTTGGGGAATGGGAACTTTTCTGGAAAGCCAGTCCGTGTACCTCAAAACAAACCCACTGCTTTGAAAACAAGGAGTGTTTTTGTACGGCACCCTGCTGTGCCACCCTAAATCTGCCTTCAATAGGCCGACCACAAAGCCCACCCTTGCGTGGCTCCTGCCGCAGACCTTCACAGCAGGGCAGAACCATCCAGAGGCTGCAAACGCAGCCGGCCTGGGGCCTCGGGACAAGCCCAAATCATGTGGCAGCAGCCCTGCGAGTATGGAAGGGGCTGGTTCCTTGTTCTCCTGGCACAACCGTAGTGAGGAGGAAGTAAATAAAATAAACAGAGGCCTAACAAAAGGGCCATGCTCAACACTTCAACGCATTGACCAAAAAATACAATCCAGTTTGAAGTGAAGGCATCCAGGCTGTTATTCCACACTCAATACATCACGATGTTCTACATTACTTAACCTGTGAGCTGCTTGGGAGAGGTAGTCCCATAATGACATTATTTCCCCGCTAGGAAGCTCTAAAAGAAGCAAAGAGAACCTCGTCATTGCCAGTGGACTTTTGAATTTGTGTCGAGCTGAAATGCTTTATTGTGGCAACAAAATAAAACCAACGCCCAGTAGTGGTATCAGCAGCCTGGAATGATCCATTTCATTGAAAATCCTACAGGCAAAGCACAGGAGGGTGATCCCCACCACCCCCAGACTTAAGTGCTGCAAATAAATTTGCATTTTAAAGCTCATTGTAAGCCAGGTCTGAGGCTTACAATGCAGGATGAAAGGTTCTTAATTTCTAAAAGCTTCCTTAACTTGCCTGGAACCTGAGATAATTTGGGCATCTTTACAAAGCATTGTACAGGGTTAACAGCCCCAGGGCTTTAAAAGCAACTTCTGCTGAGCCTTCCTCCTAAATACATTTTGCATTTAGCAAGCAATAAAAAATGCTTCAATTTTGTTAAAAATTTGACCAACTCTTTCATCTGAAGGACTGATTATCGTATTTGTCTTCTTCTTACAGTGAAAGCTCTGAGAACTGACCCTCTGTTCGCTTCCCCAGTGTTCTCTGCAGACCTTTCTCTCTTAATTCCCAGCACCAAAGAGCAGCTCAGTGTCCTCAGATGGGGGCAGAGGACAGAGGAGCATTTTGCAAGAGACAGTACCACATTATCAACACACCAACACCAGTGGTGGCTTCACAAAGCCACCTTCTCACATCTTGAGTCACACAGCAACACAACGGGTGATGCTGCAGCTTTCAGCTACGCGCAGGAGAAGCCGTGCAGGTCCTCTCCCGAAAGCAGAAGCAGCATCCCATCGTTCCGCTTCGCACCGCTCCTCCAGCCACTTCTCCAAACTGCTCGGAGGAGAATCGGGTCACCTTGTTTACTCCTTCGTGTGTTATCACATCTGAAGCCTGCTTACATTGACGTGCAGGACAGAAACGAGTTTCTAGAAGGAGGGGCTGAGTTTTCGGCGAGTCCTGACATAAACGTTAGCCACATGGAAAAAACAAAACCAGCCCTGGAAAATGCTGGAATCTGGTCCCCAAACACAGTATTGAATCTGTGGCTCGTTTATTTAGAACTGAAGAGGGTGGAGCACTCAAAGGCAGGAAGGCTTTTTTTTTTTTTCCAAACACTTTACAAAAATAAAATGTTGTTTGTTTGTTACTTCCCTCAATAGCTGCAGTTTCAAACAAGCAAACAAAAAAGGGCCAGTGGTGCCGACACAGCCCTCTTCCACCTTCAAAAGATTACAGGAAAAGGCTTTATTTCCCCTTCTGCGTGTGGCTTCTTTTTCCCTGTGCTGCCCCAGTGCTCCCCGGGCTTTGGCTCACCGCGACGGCGAGGCCTGCTGGCCTCTGCAGCCTTTCGAAGCTGTAGCATTCCACTTTCTCCTCGCTGGAAACCGTCCTGGTGCTTACGAGGCGAAACCCATCTTTGAGGAAGGTGTCAACCAGCAGGCCCAGCACGTTAACGCCGTTAATCAGCTTCCTGGTGTCAGGCTTTATGGAAACGTACCTAAAATGAGAAAAAAAAAGCTATAAAAAGCAGTCACAGAACACTTTAGATACTTCTGGCAGGATTTAATCCATTTTTTTTTTTTAAAACAAACCGGGTCCTCAGGTGGTGCAGCTCAGCACAGTCGCACAGGCCTCCAGCAGCCAGGTTCTGGGTCTCTTTTCTCTCCTTTGAAGACAATTTCACTCTTGCTTCATCATAAGCACTGCTCTCTCACCCCTACTACAAAACTTACTGCCTTAAAAAGGAGAGAACCATGCCCTAAAGCCGCAGCAGTTTTCAGGTATGAGTAGGTGATGGGAAGGAGAAGGAAGCCACAATCATCCCAAAAGCACACAGGATCTCTCTTACAAACAGTGACATTTATTGCAAAGTTACCTCGTACAGCAGGCCGTGTGGCAACAAGTAAGAAAATCATACCCATGTCACCTCAGAGAGCTTTAATTGATACAAAGTACAGCTTAAGAACCTACCCAGACACTTCAAGGAACAGCAGTCATGTAAAAATACTATTACAAAACACGTACGCTGACAGGGTGAAACTGTTCCACAGGGAATTACACCGAACAGGCATGGAAAGCACAAAAAAAGGGCAAAAGAATCCGTTTCACCACAGACTTAAGTCAACAGAAACTCAGCAGGCTGCGCAATCGAAGTGTTCTCGTTCCACTAATCAAGGTAGGCTCGTCCACAGGAAGAGTTTCACCGAGTCTGAAGAAATAAAGGAAGGAATCGGGGATATTTTTCCCACTACTCAAGTTGTCGGAACCTACCCGGCCAACTGCTAGTCCTGTAAAATCATTTCCAAAATTACAAAATTAAGGTCTGGCACGTGAAGACGCGTTGCTGCACAAATGCAAAGTAGTTCTCCCTCTTCCCTCCCCTCGCTCGGCTACAGAGAGCTGAAAGGAAGGAAGATAAACTCGGTAATCAAAGGAGTGCAGTGTTAATTCAGATATTCCGAGAGAATAACCCTCTTGGCACCATTTCAGTGAAATTTCCATAAAGTTCCAGATGTTCTAACAGTCGCAGAGGACAAATGAGGTTACGTTTTCTTAGCCAGTAAGAACGCGGCTCCATACGATGGAGACATCCAGCAAGAGCTTGTTTAAAAACTCTACGTTTTCAACAGAATACGGTGCTGCTATCCCAAAACTCCCTGATTTAGAGCAGCCTTAATAAAAACCGAACCTGGCTCTGATTTCAAAGAAAACCCACTGTGCAGCATGCAGCTAATGATCTCCCCCTTCTCCCTCCCCGCAGTTAAAAGGCTCTACAAAAGCTTTCCAGCCCCTGAACCTCAGTTCCGCCAGTGTTTTCAACCCTGTTCAGCCATTCTTTTTTTGATATTTAAGTCTACAGGACCACGAGCCAGTGGATTTCAGCTTTCTCCTGCACCTCACTCCTTATTTTGTTTCCTTCCCTTCATTTCACTCTGTGTTTTTCAAGTTTCCTAGGAGGTCACCGATGCCACGAAATCCTAAAGCCTGGCGGAGAGAGCACGGAGGGAAGGGGAGAGAAAGACCCAACAGAACAGAAAGACAAACATCAAGAACAGGATTTTTAAAAGTCGGGAACATTTTTAAGAACAGGCAAATCAGCCTAACAGAAATTCAACCGGGCACTTCAGAACTGGAGAAATATCAAATTAAAAGTACAGAAAGAAGGATTTTTGTTCATTTCTCTCAGACAGTTGTCCCATAGTGTCTTTAAAATGAGCATGTCCTTCGTGGACTAGAAGTCCTGAAGGCAGTTTCCCACTGAGAAGTCCCACTACGGAGAGTACCTGGCCACAAGCTGGTCACCGGCGGCGCGTTCAGTTCCACACTGAAATATGAGGTCATGATGAGAAGGTCTTTCCGAGGGAAGGGGAATGAGTGGCTGCTGAGAAGGAAAAGGGCTGCTCCACCTCTGCGCCGTGAACACGGTGATCTGCTCGGCGAGCCTCTCCACGGTGCTGCTGCAGGAACCAAAGATGCGGAAAAAAGCCTGGGTTTCCCGCAGGAAGAAACGCAGCTCCAGGATCTCCGGCCGTGGCTTCAGCAGGTGCTCCTGGCCCAGGAGCTCAGCCAGCGGCTGGAGCTGATAGAACTCCGCTTCTCTGCGCAGCCTCTCCACGTCCGAAAAATCAGCAGGCAGAGAGACCTGCAGGGTCCTCAAGAAGTCCAGGATGTAAGCGAACAACGCTCCGTCCCTGTCCACGAAAAATTCCCCGTCCACCAGCTGAAATTCCTCGTCGTCTTCGCTCAGCATCCGCGCCAGCCTGGACTCGGGGAACCGCCGCAAGGTGGACGCCCGGGTTACAAACCTCACACCTCCCACGCTCAGGGCGACCACCTCCCGACTGCTCATCGCCGGCTCAGCCCCTCAGGAATTATTAGGACGCACTGCTCTCTGCTCCTGCAGCTGGATCTTTCCTAAACCACGAGCCATCCGCAGCTGCACGAAGCATTCGCCGCTTGCTGCGAGTGTTTGGAGCGAGGTGTGGAGCAGCCACGGGCTCCCCGGGCAACAACGCTGTAAATACGGCGTCCCAGCGGTTTGTTTGCAGGGCTCGGTTGCTTGGAGACTCCGATTCTTGGAATTTCACGTTTTATTTTTGAAACGAGCCGCCTGCAAGGACTACTGGAAGACCAGCAGAACGGATTGGATGCACTTCAGGCAATGTATTTCCGGATCGTGTGCTCTCAGCGAAGGGCACTTCGGGGAACTCAAGCTTCCAGCTCACTTGAAATCAGCGTTACCCCACGGCCAAGCCGACGCACTCAGAAAGTTATTTCAATTCAATTAATTCCTGAAACAAGGTGCACGAAAACCCGGTAACAGCAGCAGAGCCTACACCCCTTCCAGGGCTGAAGCCCTTCCAAGCACGACCCCCACACCCCCAGGGCGTTACACACACTTCCCTGGCTCTTGGAATTCCAAGCTGGATTGACAGTGAGGAGAAATCTGCTGCCACTTTTGCGGGGCTACACCACAAGTCTGCAGGCCTGCCCCTCCCCACACCGAGCTGTTTGCTTGAAAGATGCTTTTTAAGGAGTTGTGGCTTCAAAGCAACGTGGCTCTACCAAGACAGCTCACCCCCCCGACAATTTCACAATGGAAAAGCAAACTGTGAGCACGCAGCTTGCTCTCCTCTCAGCAGCCTCGGCTGGATTCTCTGTACCCCTAGGATTTATTCAAGCTGCTGCCCTGGAGATAGGTTTTTGGACAGAACATGTAAACAACAGTCATTACCTACAGCAATCTGAGTATGCAGGATAATTCAGCTTTTGGCTAGACACAGAAATAGAGACCTGTGTGTATATATACCCATACACACATATATCCAGCCCTGTTTCAGTGAGTACCAGCAGACTCAGGTAAGGAAGTGTTTTCAGGGGAGCAGCTACGCCCCGTCCAGTGCTCTGCTTCCCCATCAGAACTGCTCTGCCTGTGTCCGAACCCCATCAGGAAAAAATCAATTAAAATTAACTGTGCCCTTCAGGAAGGAACACTTTTTAATCAAAGGGTACACAAGCTCTGATTCTACAAATAGGTTACCATCCCACTAAGTTCAGCCCTATGTTTCGGTAAGGAAAATGATTTAAAATGAGGAACATTCCCCTCATCACCACTGCAATAAGAATCCTGATTTTTTTTTCCAAAGCTCCCCTTCACCTTCCAGGTCAGCAGTGCTCAAACTACATGACCATTACGGAAACATTTTGAACCATCACTGAACATTTGGAATCAGAACATTTTGAGTGTTCTCAAACACTCAAAAGCCTTTTAACAAAGCCTTTTAAAAAAGCACAATTAGTTTTACAAAGCTTTACGTTTCCTTCATCAGATCTCTTTTACTTCCTACATTTCGGTAGGGGCTTCACAACAGTTTATATTTGCAGACGAACTGCGCCACGTTATCCAATACGACCAACGTGTAGTTTTTACACTTTTCGCTCAGAAGCGAAGCTCCATCTGTCATCTGCTCCCAGTAAAAGACGGCGTGATCTGCTATCTCCACCGTATCTGCCAAATAAGATAAGCTAATTGTAAAGAGCTGAGACTTCCAGCCCTGGAGATTGTCAACGACAGACTCCACGAAGGACATTCGGGTGACAGCAAGAAGCAGCAAGCAAATAAGAGTGGTTACTATCAACCGGCGCGAGAAGACCGAGGGGATCTTCAGTTTCAGGGTGTTGTTTTCCTGAGGCAAGGCCAATTTGTCCACGTCAACCAGTTTGATCCCGTTCCACTGGCTGGTGTCGAAGCTCTTCATCGTAGGGCTGACGTCCACGTTGGAACAAGGTAGCGGGGTTTCTTTGAGCACCTTGATTTTTTCCCTGAACTCCTGCATCTGCTGCAGGAAAATGATGGGCTCAGACACGTCCTTGAAGGCCTCGGCGATGTTGAAAGCCATCCGCTGCTCCTGAAGGATGGCGTTCAGCTTGTTGATCTCCGGGTCGTAGGCCTGCATCACCGCGAGCTTCATGGTCTCGAAGTCGGAGAGGATCTCGTTGCGCTTCTGCTCCAGCGTGTGCTGCAGCTTCTCGAAGAACTCCTTCACCTTGTCGGAATCCTTGGTCAGCATCTGCAGGGCTTTGCGCTTACTGGTTTCCAACGTATCCAGGCGGGAGAGCGCGTCCCCGCAGCGCCACGTCTCGAAGCCCTGGAAGAGGGTTTCGAAAGCCCGCTTCTCCTGGGAGTAGGCTTCCTCGATGGAGCAGAAGACGTGCTTCGTGTGGTCGCCGCGGGTGGCGCAGACCCCGCAGATCAGCTGCATGTCCGTCCGGCAGAAGATGTTGAGGGGCTGCCCGCTGTGCACTTTGCAGACGGGCATTTTGGGAGCCACCTTGATTTTGTTGTACTTCTCCACGATGCCTTTCAGGGAATAGTTGACCTGTAAGCTGGTGACTCCCGTCACCGGAGTTTCCTTCCGGCACGTGGGGCACTTGAAAGGGGCCGGCCTCCACAACACGTTCCGCACGTTGCCCTCCAGGATGCCTTCCAGACACTTCCTGCAGAAGTTGTGCGAGCAGGGCAGGACGCGAGGGTCATCAAACAGGCTGCAGCAAATGGGACAGGTGAGGTCTTCCTCCAGGAGCTCCATCGTATCCTAGGAAAGAAAATAAAGATGGTAGCAACTTTCAGAAGTTCTTCAACTACAAAGCGCATGGCTCTTTTATTCTACATGCAAAGACAAAGGTGAGTCTCTAATCATGTAAAAACTTCCATTTTCTCCCACAATAATTTATAAGTAGCCAAGTGAATGTTATCACTGAGCTATTCAGCACAAACTTAGCGTACTTCAAAGAACAGCTGCCCATGATCCTTGATAATTCATAGCGAAACAGAACTCTGAACTATTTTATTAATCCCTGATCTCTATTTCCAGTTCCATTCTCACAGCATTAATGCCTCAGCAACTCCTTTTCGTGGGCAGGACCTACTGGAAAAGGATTTACCACACATTCCTTCTCAATGGGAAGTCTCAATGAAAGGACACATCCCACTGCTCTCCCCATGCCTCTAACCAAAGCCAAGCTCTCAGGTGCAGGCACCTTGTAATTACATCGTGCTTCTAGAAAACACACAACTAATAAAAGACCAAACAGGGTGACAGCTTGTATTTGCCAAAACTCTCAAATGCTTAGTTTGGAGGTGTAATTAAAAAGATGCTTCCCTTGTGTAGTCATCCCATACTATGTTTTAAAATATATGATAAAATTCCTTTTATAAATTAAAAGATTTATCACAAAAAAAAGAGCATCCAAGTAGTCCTGTAACAAGCAAAGCATACAAATGAGCTGTTTTAAGTAGTTTTGGTGTTATTACGAAGATTCCTGTCCCCTCTTGGAAATATAAAGCAGCAAAGAAAGAGAGCCAAGAGAAGAGCTGCGAAGAAATATCCATGCTGCGCAGGACAAGAAGAGCAATAGCGTAGCACTGATCCCAGGAAAGCACAGATAGCTACAGGGAAGAAAGGCAAGGTCAACGCTGAGTCTCCTCCACGAGAGGACAGATACAGCCACGGTGAGACTTCACATTCCCGAGAGGTGTAAGCAAACCTTCCGTGTTCCCCCAGGACCAAGGAGAAGGGGGATTCCCTGTGTCTGGATAAGCAAAGTTTGAAAAGGTTGCCAGGTTTTCTACTCACCCTGAGCACTGAGGTGATCAGGCAGAAGAAGGCACCCGTTAAAGCCAGGGAAAAAGCCCTGGAGAAAAAGGTCGAATCACTCCATGTACCACCAAGGGTTTCCTTTAAGGCCACAGATCCCACGCAGAAACTTCATTTTCTGTGAAAAGAAAGTAATTTCGAAACACCTTTTAATGCTGGCACACGCAAGGTTTCTCTCTTGCCTACTCTTCCTAATAGTAAAAACACTGGGATGAAAGAAAGTGGGTGATTTTGCCCCTAAACTCCTGAGTCTCTCTGTATGAACAATTCTGTTTTCCAACTTGGACTCATAGCTTTTAGCCATGGTAGCAGCACAAAGGTCAGTTTTGCCCAAGCATTCAAAGGATAATAATTGCCAAATGGAAATGCCAGTTCTCCATCTTTTAGTAACTGGAAATCCACAGCGCAGAAAACATTCACCCCGGTCCATCTCCTTTACCAGCGAGGATTTTGCTTCTTAGGAACTGGAAGAGAAGCTTGGTATGCCTGACAGCAAGCACTGAAAACCACCGCAGAACACGTTTACTACAATATGTCCCATCAAAAATGCAGGACAAACATTGAAGACTTGCAAGCTCCTAAAAATACAAAAGCATATACAAAAGGGTTTCATGATCCAAATAAAACTGTCTTGGTGCATTCCAGGCCTGCTTATCCAATTAAATAATTACACTTCATAAATGCAAGTGAACTGCAAAATCATTGTACGATAGCATTAAAAGCTTAGGATTTAAATTTAAAAAAGAAATTGGCAAGGCTATGAGCTTACTTTTAAAAAAATCTCTTGCAGCACCAGTAAGAAGAGCAAACCGAAAATACTGAAAACCTGAAGGACTGGTTTGGAGAGCCCAACTTCCTTCTGCTCTAGGAGGCCAATTTCAGAGAATAAGCTGCCTGCGGACTGAAGCGCGCCTTTGTACCCACACATCCCTTTGTACCAGCAACCTGGTATGTGCACGAGTTAACTACAGCTTAAAACACAGCAACACCACCACTTCTCTGTGGGGAAGCTCCGTGTAACTTCTGACACAGGTGCACAAGGAACTAGAGCCTGCCACCTGTAGCGCACACACCAACAGGCACAATGGTTTCTCCCTTCACCTGAGCTCAGGTAGTTCTCTGGGTACAAACTCAGCAGATGTCACCCACCTGAAAGAAAGAGCAACTGGCACGGCCCTACCGTTCAGAAGAATGAATGGCAAAAGAAATCTAACCGTAAATATGAAAATAAGCA